AATGAAAACACATGCACATGAAAAGATTTGTACATTGAGCAAGGGTGGGGGTGCACAGCTGCCATCCCAGCCCTCAGAAGACTGAGGCAGAAACACTGACAGTTAGAGGTAAGCCTGGGCTACACAGTGAGACTTTGTCTCAAAAAACCAAAACGGGGCTAGAGAGATGTCTCGGTGGTTAAAGCACTGATTGCTCTTCTAGAAGAACCCAAGTTTGATTTCCAGCACCCACATGGCAGCTCACAACTATCTGTAACTCCAGTTCCAGGGGGCCCAACACCCATGGCAAACATCAACGTACATAAAATATTTTTAAAAATCAAAACAAATAAAAGGAGTTGTATATAAATTTTAATAACAACATAAACTGAAAGCCTCTGCCTATCTACAGGTGAATAGACACATTTTTAAATTTCTATACAATGGAGTACCACTCAGAATAAAAAGGGAACAAAATAGAAAAATATGTATGAGAACAGACTATATGCTGGGCAAAAGTAGCTAGGCATAGAAACGGTACATACTATATAATTCCCTGTCTATGAAATCAAATGCTGAAATAATTTAAACTCATAAAAAGTGATTTTAAAAGAACAGACTATGCTTTGCTGGAATGGGGGCAAATCAATACAAGGAACTTAGGTAATAATCTTGAAGTTTTGTGTTGTTATTTGTTGTTTGTTTGGTTGGTTGGCTTTAAGACAAAGTCTCACAATATGGCCTAGCCTCTATTGTCTCAAACTCCTACTTCTACCTGTCAAGTGCTAGGATTACAGGCATGCATACCATGGCCAGACTCTCTACACTTTAGTTGAATAAACAGTAGCTTAGGATAATTGCCCTAGATACCATTGCCTAATCCTCTGAATGTATTGTACAAAACCACTGAGCCAGGCTAACTGGGCTAAATTCATGATCTCTGGTGGAGCCTAAGGATACCAACATGGTCCTGTTAGCCTCTGTCCCTCCTTTCTACAATTATTCTGAATCTTCCATTCAAATATTCCCTTCCTCATTCTCAACTGATGGTTTTGCTGCCTCTTATATTCAAAAGGAGAATAAGTTAAAGAAGTCTGATGGATGTTATTAATGTAAAAACCTACCTGCATTTCTACATTCATACCCCTGTTACAGTCAACAAGCCACCTATGTTCTGGCAGTTCCAACCTTCCTTTACTAAAGTATGTGCCATCTCAACTATTAAGAACATTCCTCCGTCAGTCATCCCTATTCTTCAATATCAGCTTTTCTGCCTTTTGTGGACATCTCCAACATTATAAAAATACACTCTCCTATCTTACATTGTTTTTAAAAAGCTTCCCTTGACCTAAAATTCCGCTCCATTTCCTTGCTTCCCTTCATGAAGGCATTCCTCTGAAATAACTTTCTGTAATTGCTCCTCTATTTTCTCTCAACCCTTTCTCCCACCATACTCCAATCAGTATTGTTTTCCTATCATTGTTCTAAAACTGTTCTTGTCCTGGTCACAGAGCCCTTCATACCCTGGAACCCATGGCTTCCTCACTTAGTTTCCAGATTTTTTTATCTCCTGGTTCTTGTTCTTAGAGAACCACTTCTCAATTTCCTTTGTTCCTTTCCCTCGCTTCTCAGTCTCCAAGTTTGAGAGTCATTACCAGTTCAACTTGGCAGCTCTCATTGTACTGGGCTGCCTTGTCCAGCCTTAACAGAAGAGGAGGTGTCTAGTTTCACCACAATTTGATATACTATGGCTGGTTGATATCCACGGGAGTCCTGCCCTTTCTGAAGAGAAATGGAGGAGAGTGGATGGCATGGGGGGGCATGTCTAGGAAGCATTTTTTTATTGATAATTTATGTAGCAGTACCCCCTGTTGGAAGTACCATCCCCAGGCAGGAAGGCCTAGACAATATAAGAACGAAGGCTGAACAAGAACCTGAGAGAAGCCAGTACACAACATACCCCTGACATTTCCACTTCAGTTCCTGCCTCAGAGTTCCTGCTTTAAGTTCCTGCCTTGGCTTCCCTGGATAATTCATCATAACCTATAAGCCAAGTAAACACTTCCTTCTCCCAAGTTGCCTTGGGGTAGTGTTTAAGACAGCAATAAAGAAGCAAACAAGGAGTGCACATAGATACTAAGTAGGACAGGCAACAGTTTTCTCATATGGCCTGTCAAGCTTCCTGTCTTGGGAACAGTAAGTCCTCTTTTCTATACCATTGGTACCTAAACTGTGCTTTCAATGCCCACCCCAGTCTCATTCTACTTGCTCTACCACATAAGGTCAAAGTGCTTCCTTGGTATCCTGGTATCAAGTTCATGGGAGCTTGGCGCAACATTGTCTTCCAAAACACACTTTTTTCAGCTGCATGTACTTAGTGACTTAGCATTGGTAATAAAGAGTGATGAATTCTTTATGTAAATTTCTTTTTGCATCTCACTAGGAAACATGTCTAGCACACACTATTTTCACTTGTCAACCATTTTCAACATACTGTTCAAAATGGCTTGACAATTTAATTATGCAGTAGAAAAAGATTAATAGCATTAAAAAGATTAATACAAAAATGTTGACAATGTATTATTAAATGAAGAGTACATTATCACACTTTGTATGCTCACAACTGTCCAAACATGAAACTGTGAGATCAAAGAACTTTTTTTATAGGAGGTAGGCTTGTGGTTGACTTGTTTAACATTTCTTGGGTACGGTCATGCTTTTAATATTTTCCAGTTTTTCCATGTTAGTCATTTATTACTTTGAACTTTAAAGAAAAGGCATTTAGTTTTTTTCTCTTAGTTTTACTGAGTATACAACACAGGCATGGTAGAGAGAAAAACAATACAAGAGCTCTGGAGTTTTACCAGGACCGCTGACCAAGACTCGTGATTACAAGTGCTGGGAGCCCAACTGAAAGCGCAGCTGGACATCTCTCAGAGCCTCCATCTCTATCCCCGCTCATCTTCTTCCTGTTTGTCTCCTCATCTCTTACCATAAACAACTTCCTCCAAATGGCTGGGCAGAGCAGTCATCCTCAGAGCTTCCATTCACTCCCAGAGTTCATGTATCAAGTCCCAGAGGAGAGCAGTTTGTCCTACTTAGATCATGTCTCACATCTGGACTGGAGACAGACAGGGCAGCATTCTCACCAGCCAGGGACACAACACCTGCCTTCCCTGGGACAGGGGAGAAAAGGGTGCAGTGGAGTAGCCTGGTGCTAGCCCCATGCTAAGGGTTCCCCACAATAAAGGATCCTGGAGCTAGAAGGGAGATAAGCAACCCACTGAACTAAACAACAGTCTATTCTGCTTTTCAAAATTAGTTAAATTTTTAATTAGCAGGTAATATTTCACTAAGAAGGTAGTCTTCAATAGTCGCTGTTTCTGAGCGCAACTCTGGTTTTAAAGATGGCAGAGAGCACCCTACTGACAGGCATAGCTCACGAAGTGACTTTACTTTTCCTCAGTTGCTGCCACTTGAACTCATTTTTGGTGTCACTGATCAACTCAAAATTGCAATTAGCATATTCTCTTCCTTTCCTGTTTTCAAAGGACAATTTCCCTAGATTTATAACACAATTTTAATTTGACAAGTTACCTATAAGTCTGTGTTTCCTCCTGGTCCCCTGTTCACACACAGGCACCAAGCAGGGCAGAGCAGTCTTCTCTGGGGATCAGTTAGACTTGAGCACTGGAAGCCTTTCAGTCTCCAGAACTGTAAGCTCTGCGCATAATGCAGCCTTAACAGCTGATTACAGGAGAAGAAAACTAGACACCAGGGCATACACACTTATTCTCAGTTTAATCAGGACTTCTAGTGGCAAACAACAAAATCAACTTTGGCTGGCCACAACAAAATAAAGTCTAGCAGGAGCTCACAGATGCTCTGAAAAGACTTGAGCACCAGACACGGATGCTGAGCAGTCAGGAAGAATCCCGAATTACTCCTTGGGATGCACTACAGCTAATGGACCTGCTGATAATTTTACCATCTGAACCAGGACTTGCACAAATGCTACAACTCACACAGAGGTGCTCGGGATCGGATACCAAAGACTACCTCTGATACTCCTACAGAGCCCAACACGCCAGATCACAAACTCTCTGTCCTCTCGTCTCCCCTTGCCCACTTCTGAATCAAAGGCACATACAAGTATCCCATGACCCTGCTGCAAGGAAGGCCAGGAAAGCAAGTCTCCCCCTGCAGGCTGAGAAAGCATGAAGCATGAATGGAGGTTCTCTAAGCACTAGACTATTAAAGGACGCTGGGCATCGGAAATGTCCACAGTAAAAATGCCCACAATAAGCCCTACTTATTAGAGACTTTCCTCTGCTAATCATTCCTCTGTCTTTTACTCCCAACAGACACTCAGAAGACCAACTGCAGCGTGGAAGTGACAGTGTCTGCAAACACTGCAGCACACGCTACTGCATGAGAAATGTATCAACACCAGAACAGAGCAACCTGTGAATTGCTCGTATTTCTTTCCATCTCTAAGTCAGTAAGAACTCTGATTTTAGACAATAAGGGTATTATATGAGAAACAATATTACACAAAGCATTCCCCTGGGCCAAAATCAAGCATCTTAAAATTCCAAAAACATTGTATCTTGAATATCAGATTAATATCTTAATTTTTTTAGCAGCTGGGCTAATCTGGTTGCTTTTATTTCAAAAATAATTGTGTCATTTTGCAACTACTCCTAGATACACAAACAAGTATAATCATAAGAACTTTCAATATGATATCTATTCTTTTATATAAATGGTAAGATTTTACTGCAGTCTTCTAGGATACATATGTATTTCTATGTATATGTTGGCAGAATGAATAATAAAAATTCTTTCTTTATTCTATCAGTAGCAGCAATAAAAAAGTATACACATCTTTGAACCGATTTAAGTTCACAAAACTGCAATCCTATGACCCTTTTGTTAAATTTGTTAAATTTGTTAAATTATTAATTGTTAAATTAAAATATTTTCTTTGTAGAATTGCTGCATTGTTTTTCCTTACATACCTGTTCCGTGTCCTTACAGGCTCGAGTCATACTGCCACCTGGTGTGGCTGAAGCAAACTTCCTTCTACTCTAAGGCCACCGGAGAAGTGACAACTTACTGATCCCATGTTGCTGAGTCATTGTAGAGGAAATCACAGGGCTCCTTAAAAAGAAGAGAGGGGTTTTGATCCCCTGAAAACACAAATCATTTTGTAAGGAAGGGAAAGCCTTAAGCATCTGGCATTTTTAATTCAGCAAATGTGTAGGGCTCACCCACTAGTGATACTACAGGTGACAAAATAGGGGTTGAGAAAATCAAGGCAAGAAGAATAGAGCATTGTGGGCCAGACCAGACTGCTGGGAGGATAAGCACGAACAGCAGCATGGGGGTGAGGAGTGAGGGGGACAAAGAACACGGTGACAGTAGTGTCCTCCAGAAATTATCTGACCACTGGAGCCTGCCAACACCAGGAGGTACAACCATCTCAGCCTTGAGTCTGTAGGTACCTGGAGGAACGATCACCAAAGGTTCTCCTCTGCCCACACCTGAAGGAGTGATCAATTGAGCCACAGCCTCCAAATATACCAATGGAAGGAAAAGGGACACCCTGAAACATAGACTCTACCTATTCCGATTGTAGGAAGAGATGGGTAGACAACAGGGTAGGAATACAATCAACAATATGAAGAGCAATACGGCACCAACAGAAACTAGTGAATCCACAAGAGCAACACCTGAACATCCAATGCAGATGATGCAGAAGAAAACAACCTTAAAAATAACTTCATGAAGATGATTGAGGCCCTTAAAGAGGAAATGAAAAATTCACTTAAAGAAATAGAGAAAAAGACAACCAAAAATGGAAGAAATCAATAAATCCCTTTAAAAAACCAAGAGAAAGCAACGAAACGGGTGAATTAAATGGTTCAAGACTTGAAAACTGAAATAGAGGCAATAAAAAAACACACAAACCAAGTGAAATCTGGAAATGAAAAGTCTGGGTAAGTGATCAAGAACTACAGAAGCAAGCATAAACAACAGAATACAAGAGATGGAAGATAGAAACTCAGGCACTGAAGATACAATAGAGGAAATAGATTCATAGGTCAAAGAAAATGTTAAATTCAACAAATTCTTAACAAAAAATATCTAGGAAATCTGGGACACCATGAAAAGACCAAACCTAAGAATAATAGTAATTGAAGAAGGAGAATAACTACAGGTAAAAGGCACAGAAATTATATTCAACAAAATCATAGAAGAAAACTTTCCCAACCTAAAGAAGGACATACCTATGAAAATACAAGAAGCTTACAGAACACCAAATAAACTGGACCAAAAAGAAAGTTCCCTTGCCACATAATAATCAACACACTAAACATATAGAATAAAAAAGAATATTAAGAGCTGCAAAAGGAAAAGGTCAAGTAACATATAAAGGCAGATCTATCAGAATTACACACAGTTTCTCAAGAGAAACAATGAAAGCCAGAAGGTCTTGGTCAGGTATTATGCAGACACTAAGAGACCACAGAAGTCAGCCCAGACTAATATCCAGCAAAGCTTTTAAGCAACATAGACAGAGAAAATAAAATATTCCATGACAAAGGCAGGTTTAATCAATACCTACCCACAAATCCAGCCCTACAGAAAATACTAGGAGGAAAACTACAACCCAAGGAAGTTAACTACACCCACAAAAACATATGCAATAAGTAATACCACACCAGCAAATCCCAAAGAAGAGAAACACACACATAACACCACTAACGACAACAAAAACAAAAATAACAGGAACTAGCAATCACTGGTCATTAATATCCCTTAATATCAATGGACTCGGTTCACCTATAAAAAGACACGGGCTAACAGACTAAATACAAAGCAATCTACAGATTCAATGCAATACCCAGCAAAATTCTTCACAGACCTCAAAAGAACAAAACTCAACTTCGAATGGAAAAACAAAAAGGGCAGAATAGCCAAAACAATATTGTACAATAAGGAACTTCTGGAGGCATCACCATCCCTGACTTCAAACTCCATTACAGAGATGCAATAATAAAAACAACTTGGTATTGGCATAAAAACAGACAGGAGGGGGGCTGGAGAGATGGCTCAGAGGTTAAGAGCATTGCCTGCTCTTCCAAAGGTCCTGAGTTCAATTTCCAGCAACCACATGGTGGCTCACAACCATCTGTAATGAGGTCTGGTGCCCTCTTCTGGCCTTCAGGCACAAGGCAGGAAGAATATTGTATACATGATAAATAAATAAGTAAATAAATAAATAAATATTTAAAAAAAAAAGACAGGAGGACCTACGGAATCAAATCAAAAACTCAGATATCTATCAACCCACACAACTACGAACACCTGATTTTTGAGAAAGAAGCTAAAGTTATGAAATGGAAAAAAAGAGAGCACCTTCAACAAATGGTGCTGGCATAACTAGATATCGACATGTAGAAGAATGCAAATAGACCCATATCTATCACCATGCACAAAACTCAAGTTCATATGGATCAAAGACCTCAACATAAAACCAACCATACTGAACCTTATAGAAGGGAAAGTGGGAAGTACACTTGAATGCATTGGCACAGGAGACCACTTCCTAAATATAACCCCAGTAGCACAGACACTGAGAGAAACAATTAATAAATGGAACTCCTGAAACTGAAAAGCTTCTGTAAAGCAAAGGGCACAGTTAACAAGACAAAACCACATCCTACAGAACGTGAAAACATCTTCACCAACCCCATATCAAACAGAGGACTGATCTTCAAAATGTACAAAGAACTTAAGAAACTAGAAATCAAAAGAACAAATAAACCAATAAAAAAAATGGGGTACAGACCTAAACAGAGAACTCTCAACAGAGGAATCTCAAATGACCAAAAGACATTTAATGAAATGCTCAACATCCTTAGCCATCAGGAAAATGCAAATCAAAACAACTCTGAGATTCCATCTTACACCTATCAGAATAGTTAAGCTCAAAAACACTGATGACAGCTTATGCTGGAGAGGATGTGAAGCAAGGGAACACGTCTCCATTGCTGGTGGGAGTGCAAACTTGTACTGCCACTTTGGAAATCAATATGGTGATTTGTAGAAAATTGGGAGTCAAGCTGCCTCAAGACTCAGGAATACTTCTCTTAGGCATGTACCCAAAGGATGCTCAATCATACCACAAGGACACTTGCTAAACTATGTTCAGAGCAGTTTAATTCGTAATAACCAGACATGGAAACAACGTAGATGCCCCCTCAACTGAAGAATAAATAAAGAAAATGTGGTACGTTTACACAATGGAGTATTATTATTCAGCTGTTAAAAACAATGACATCAGGAAATTTGAAGGCAAATGTATGGAACTAGAAAAAAAAATCCTGATTGAGGTAACCCAGGTTCAAAAAGACAAACATGATATGTACTCACTCATAAATGGATGTTATCTTTAAAGGATAACCATGCTACAAACCACAAACCCAGAGAGGCTAGGTAAGAACAGCCCAAGGTGGGATACATGAATCTTCCTGGGAAGCAGAAATTGAAGAGATCTCCTGTGTGAACTCAGGGTGGGTGGGGATGGAAACTTGAGGGATGGGGGAGGATGGGGAGAGTACTGGAAAGAGGGACACATTTCAGGGATAGGTAGAAACCTGAAGCAAGGGAAACTCCCACGAATCTACAAGGATGACTCCTAGCAATAGCAGACATGTAGCCTGAACTGGCCACCTCCTAAGATCAGATTGGTGATTACCCCAAATGTCATCAGAGCGCTTTCATCCAGTAACTGAAGAATAGAGATACAGAGACCCACAACCAAACATTAGGCAGAGCTTGGGGAGTACTGCTGAAGAGAGGGAGGAAGTATTGTAGGAGCCAGAGGGACTTCATAAGAAACCCCACAGAGACAACTGACCTGGCTCATAGGAATCAAAGTCTGAACCAACAACCATAGAACTGACCTAGGCCTTCTACACATACGTGACAGTTGTATAGTTTAGTCTACTCATGGGACTCCTAACAATGGGAGCTGTACTTGTCCCTAATGCTTTGGCTGGCTCTTGGGAACCTATTCCTCATACTGAATTGCCTGGCCCAGCCTTAATACAAGGGAAGGTGCTTAGTCTTACTGCAACTTGATATGCCATGCTTTGTTGATACTCAGGAGCCCTGCCCTTTTCTGAAAAGAAACAGAGGAGGAGTGGATTGTGGCGGGGGGGGGGGGGGGGAAGACAAGGGAGAGAAGGAGGGGGGAAACTACAGTTAGGATATAAAATAAGTATTTTTTTAAATTTAGTAATTGTATGTGTTTTTTATTTTATCATTGACACAGTCACTTCTGATTAGAGTTTTATGACTAGAACAGGCAGGGTAAGACATGTAATTAATGTAACAAATTTTTGCTTTCCTTATAAAATAACTCCCAATAGCATTTGGTAAATGTTGCCGGGAACAATTTGTTCATCCTGGCCACCCAGAACCGAAATAATCATACAGAAACTGTATTATTTAAATCACTGCTTGGGCCATTAGCTCTACCTTTGTATTATGGCTTGGACCATAAGCTCTACCTTACATATTAATTTAACCTATTTCTATTAATCTGTAAATCACCATGAGGTCATGACCTTCCAGCCAAGTTTCAGCACACCTATCTCCACCAGAGGCTTCATGGCATCCCCTGACCCCGCCCTTCTTCCTCCCAGCATTCAGTTCTGTCTTCCCTGCCTACCTAAGTTCTGCCCTATCAACAGGTCAAGGCAGTTTCTTTATTCATTAATCAAGAAAAGCAATGCATAGACAGAAGAACCTCCCACACCAGGTAAAATCTTCTGTTGAGTTTTTTTCAAATCTTTTTTGTCAAGAGAGATAGGGAAAGAGCAAAATAAAAAAAAGTGGGTTTTCCACAATTTTACTAGAATAGGATTATTTGTATTTAAATATCTTGTATATTCTTACTATTAATTTATAGTTAGTATATATTACATGGTCTCCTAACCGTAAATAGCACTGGGATGAGTCAGTACTCTCCACCTCTGAGATTTCAGGGAGCTGAGGATAGTAATTACTACCAGACTTCTAAGAATTTCAGAAGCTTTTGTTATAATGTGCATGTATAGCTTAGTTCTTATACTTCCATCTATTTATAATAGATGCTTTCTTCTGATTTCTCCAGACGCATGAGCATACACACAGAATCATATGCATGTCACATACATACAAGTAAATCTTAAGAAAAATAAAGTCTGAGACTGACTGGCTCTAAAATGATGACTTAAAGGGATAAAAAGATTTGCTTGCTTTCTGATTGCAGAAATGACACGGGAGCTTTGTTCCACGTGGCCATTCAGCCTATCTTGTGAGAAAAGAGGACTGTAGAAAGCATTGCATTGAGTCTCATTTCAGGACATTGAGGATGCCAATCCATCCACATCTGGGCCTCACTCAAATGGAAGGGCAGGTGGAGAATGCAGTATAGCTAAGCAGCCATATGTGCCCCTTCAATTATTTCAGTAGGACCAGATATTGATATAGGTAGACAGGTAGACAAATAAGCAAGGGACGCATAAGTATAATGACTTTGTTTCAATTTTAGATTTCTGTACATTCTATTATTTTTCTCATCAGCAAAGATCTCATAAAGATTATACAGCTTTCTCAAATTTTAACATTTCGTGTCAAACTGGGAGACCCCAGCAGAGGCTCTTTGGTGGGGTTGGGTTTTGGAGAGTTTTGAGTGCCATGAAATAGAGAGAAGACATTAGAGGAAGAAGGGTACAGTTCAGTGACATTACAAGACAGTAATATGCAAATATGGTGGTCAGTGCTATCACCCTGACAAAATCTGGAATGTCTGGAGGGGACTGTCATGACTTCACTTACTGAGGTGGGGTGGCTCACCCATTGTGGGTGGTACCATTTCCTGACTGAGATTCTGGACTGCATCAAAGGAAAATGAGAATTGAGCCTGCATGCTCTCATTGTTCCCTTCCGAAGCATAAGGCAACCAGCTGGGCCAAGTGTCCACTGCCATGACTCTCCTGCTATGATAAATTGTGTCTTAACTGTTGTGGGAATTCTGACAGCCAATTGCATTGGGGCGGCTTGGCCCAATGGATGTGATCTTCTCTGGATGTACATGACCCGAAAACTCAAATAAAAGGTGTGGGCAGGGTGAAGTGCTCTCTCTTGGTTAAACAAGCAGGCAGTGAGCCACGGGAACAGGCGTGGCTGGCAGTTTGGTTCTCATTCCCTTTTAACGGCGGCAACGGTGATAGTGTATCTGTTGGATCCACAGTAGCGGCAGCTTCATTCTGTATTGCTAGTGTGCTTTATTGATTGGCACCTGTTAATAAATCTGACTTGGTCACAGAGTTCACTCCCTCATTACTTAACTATGAGCCAGAATGAGCCCTCTCTCCTTTACATTACTTTGTCAGAGTATTTTAATCACAACAACAAGAAAATAAATTAAGGCAATAGGGAATGTAAAGAGTGGAGGCCCAGGGAAAAAAAGAAATGAAAACAGTCCATTAAGAAACAACAGTTCAAGCGGGCCAGTGGCTCTTGCCTTTAATCCCAGCACTCGGGAGGCAGAGGCAGGCAGATCTCTGTGAGTTCGAATCCAGCCTGGTCTACAGAGTGAGTTCCAGGACAGGCTCCAAAGCTACAGAGAAACCCTGTCTCGAAAAAAGAAAATGGAGTCTCTCAAACCATGGCAGAGTCTGAAAACCACTGTCTTATACAAGACAGGGTAGAGTATGGCACAGCCTGGTCAACACAGCATGGTGTTTGTTAGCATCCTGTGAGCCATGGATGGAAAAGCACTTCAGTGTTATCAGGAAAATGTCATGGGTACAGGAAAAGATGGAAAATTGAAACTATGGGGCTGGAGAGATGGCTCAGCGGTTAAGAACACTGGGTGTTCTTCCAGAGGTCCTGAGTTCAATTTCCAGCAACCACATGGAGGTTCACAACCATATGTAATGAGATCTGGTGCCCTCTTCTGGCCCGCAGGGATATATGCAGGCAGAACATTGTATGCTTAATAAATAAATAAATCTTAAAAAAAAAAAAAAGAAAAAATGAAATCATTTTCAAAACAATCCACGTCCATATACAAGAGCTCCCAATTTAGATGTAGAGATGGGAGCTCCTTCCTCTGAACATGCCCATTCAGTGGATTAGGAGAACAGCCCACTTGCAAACTCCCAGCATATTTAACATTGAACGTTTATTTTCTTTCAAATTCTGGTGTTTAATGCTCTCTTTCTCGATACAACATGACAAGGCCGCCCCCTGTTACTCAAGCCAGACACCTGAAAGTAGTCTTTGACACTTTTCTCTCCAATGCAGTCCATCAGTTCTATCCCCAAAATATCTCCTTTTTAAAATTTTCTCTTCTTCTTCCTTCCAAGTTGTTTTTAATCACTCTTCTGAACACCGAAAAATATATCACTGAGCTCTGACATAAAATCTCCAACCCCTATTAAGCCCCCACCTCCATGTTCTTCCTGTGCAACTTGCTCCTCACTTGAACTTCCTGTATGACTGGCCTTTGTTCATCATTTTCCAGTTATAGGAGCTTTCTTACCTCAAGGCCCTTGTCATGCTCCCAGGAGCGCATCCTGTATGATAAGAACATAGACTCCACATCTGCCCTTTTAGCTATGTAATCATAACTGAAACACAGTATCCGTAAAATGGGAGTAGAATTGGGGCCTATATCTTACAGACATCCAGTGTACTGTACTATACTGTACTATACTATACCTCCCAACATACAATAAACAACATCTAAGTTTCTTAGACAAAATCAGTTATTCAGTGACTAGGTCCTACTCAGACATAGTTCCTTATTTTTCCTAACTTCAAGACAATTTATAATTAGTTATTCCCTTTTGGCTTTGGTAGTTTCATTTGATGACTGGTTTTTTTTCCCCATAAGACACTAAATTACGTTATTTTCTAGTATCTGTGGCCTACACACCACTCAATTCCTACTAGCTACAAAATTAATTACATGTACAGATGTTAAATATTTGTTGAATAAATAAATCATTGTAATGGGTTCCAGCTTCCAATTAAATTATAATGGGCTAGCTGCAGTTCAAATCTCTCTTTGCCTAGCAACCTTGACAACATAGTAATTTTAAAGTTCATAATATCCAGTTCAGGTTGGTCTCTTTCTACAATTTCACAAGAATGGGTATGACTTGCCCAGTGGTCTTCTGTGACGTTCCCTTCCCCCTGAAAAGAAGTAGCGTTGTAGGAAAGGGAGACGGCTCAGCAGGAAAGTGCTTGTCTCACAAGGATGGGACCCTCAGCTCAGCTCCCCAGCACTCACAGGAAGAGCACGATGAAGTGGGAACACACAGGCAGGATTGGGGGTGTGGTCAGTTAGCCAAGCCAAATCAGAGCCCTCCGGGTTCAAAGAGAGACCGTGTCTCAAAAAATAAGTCAGAGAGTAATTGAAGAAGATACCTGATCTTGACTACTGGCCTTCACATACAGTGGCACACACATAAATATGACGGGGGAAATGGATGGTAGCAGCAGGAACACACAAAAATGATTACAGTGTATGGGGTCACCATATAGTATTCACTGAACAGCAGTTATAAAAACCAAGTATGAATTCATATCTAGTGATAGTAATTTTTCCTTTAAAGTAAGCATGGGGGGTGGAAGCCAACATAGCTTATGCCAAAAGAAATTTCTGGTGCTCTTCTTACTTCATTATCGTAACAAATGTAAGAGCAAGTTTGGTGGTTCAGTGGGTAAAAGCACTTGCCATCAACCCTGGTGACCTGCATTCAATCCCCAGGTCACACCTGGGGGAAACAGAATAAACTCCACCCCTGTCTTCTGACCTCCACATAGGCACCACGTCCACATACATGCAATATAACTTCTAAATTTAAAAGTCTAGCTCTTGACTATACGGAAGTAGGCAAGGCTCGAGTTGTATCATTTCTGTATACAGAATAAAGGAAGGTAACAAAAGCGGGGGAGGGGGTGATCAAGCAGGTATTATTTTTCTAGATTGGGGGCCCATATCACTGAATCCTTTGCCACCTGGACTCTTATGTATCTCTAGTCAGATCTATCACCAATCGTAATGAAACAGTTGGAAATCTAGTATTTTTATATGCCTATGTGATGGCTGTTTTAATTCATTTAATCTCCCTAGGCCGTTTAATGAGGGTAGGTGATAATAAATATTTGGTACAACAGAGTTTAAATTGTAATTATGATCTGACTGTTATGGTCAATATTCCACCAGAAGGACCGGTCTTGAAGTTTAAGGCATTTAGGTCATTAAGAAACCCTAGGTTGGCAGTATTTTTAAACTCTGGTCCTCAGAATTACTTACGTTAAAAATCAGACTCCCTACCTCAACCCTGAAGAAATCAATCGAGGCTGTATTTTTTGTACTTTTAAGAGTGCAGCTGCCGAGCCAGTGATTCTGTGGCCCGCTATCTGAGAATGGAAACTAAACCTCGAGGCCTCGCGACCGGCCTGTCTTCCTCGTCGGAAACAAGCACCATGCATCTTTCACAGCATCAAAGAAATTTGTCCGCAGCGCCACCCCGTAGTCCTCAGCCACAGAGCAGCATTGAGCATGCGTGTTGTGCCGGGAACTCTGGGGTGGCCTTCCCGAGACACCGGCCCTCTACCGCTAGTAAATCTCCCACTTCCGGCTTAGGCCCCACCCACGGTCCACGAACCAATGAAATGCAGAATTGCTGAGGCTGTGAACCAATGGCCAGGGCTGTCTTTCGTCTCTGCCCGCAGTTTGAAACTGTCAAGGAGCTGCTAGGGTAGCAGGTGTTTGCTGTGGTTGCGGCGGCGTCGCTGGGGCTGCTGCGAGTGAGGAGTCGGGGTTTGGCGGAGACGGTGGGTGCCGGCGGCGGGGGCCGGCCGCTTCCACTCAGACAGGACCGGGGGCATCATCTCTGGAGGTGCAAGGAAGAGGACTCTAGCGACGCGAACTGAGCATCGCGCGTACCAGCCCAGCAGGTTCTGTTCTTTAGGGTGCGGGGTGCTAGTCAGTCGTGAGGTTGTGTTTTCCTAAGAAAGAATTGGATTTAAATGGGTCTGCATTGGAGGGTGGTGAAAGAAATATTGGAAGGGACTGGCGCTCCCCGTCCCTGCATGCAGTTAGAGGCCTTCCTGCCAGAGACACGTTGGTTCGCCCTCTAGATCTTAGGGGTTGCATTTGAACTCCTGGAGCCCGCTTTTCAGCTGAGTTGTGCCTGTGGCAAAGAGGAGCATTCAGACTATTTTGTGGTTTCTACTTAAGTTAGAAAATACTGAGACCATGATGGAATAATGCATGTCACTCGCTAAAGAAGCATCATTCTGCTGTCGTCTCTGAACCCAGAGACTGAGGAGTCTCAAGTTAATTGTCATGCCTGTTTGCAAAGAGCAGGGTAAATGGCAGATAACGTATTTTCCAAAAGCACACTCGTTTTGTGTCCACAATATATATTTAAGAAACATTTGTTTCTTAAATGTTTTGTTACTAAAGTAATCCACAACTCTCAACTCTAGTTGCCTACCAGGTCTGCAAACAAATCATAAAGTAAAATGTAATGAAAATTAAACAGAGCAAATTACCACAGTGGTTGGTTTGAAATCAGTGAAGCATTCATTCCTTGATGCAGACCATGCTTGTTTTATCTTCCCTAGGTGGCTTTAATGGAAGACAGTCACAATTGAGATTTAGTTTATTTGTCTTTTGTAAACATAGCAATACTGAATAAAAAACAGGAATTCCCCTTCCAGAGTCTGGTTGCAACCTGGCGTTCTCTTTTGTGGCTTCCCTGCATCTTCCCTTCTACTTCAGTGACTTCATTGCTTGTTTATTTTCTTAGCAAGCTGTAGTTGATGCCTGTTTTGGTAGCAACTGAAACTGTCACAAATGGCACAGCAGCTTCCTGATTGGCTAGTTGAGGACCATCCTTACCCCTTTGTGGTCCATGACCCTCATGATGCTGCCCACACAATTCCAGTGTTCTGGATTTCTCTCCAGACATTTGACTGAGACTTTGCATCTTAAAAGTTATCAATTGTAGATTTAACTGTCTTCTCACGGGAGTAGTCCTTAACTTTATCAGGATTATGATCTCCTCCGAAATTATATTGGAAGCTAAAACTCTTTCTAGAAAATACACGTGTATTTATATTCTAAAAGTGTGTGCAATGTGTGTGCTTGGTCTGCAGGATAATAATTCTTTACCACGCCTCAACGGGTGGTCCCACTCATTCCTCTTTATTTAGACACGCCAATAAATCAGTGTTTCCTCCGTCTCAACCTTCACCCTGTAGTTGTACTGCAGGTCTCCCTCCTTTATATTGAGTTCAGGAACTTGACTTTAAGAACCAGTATTACATTCTAGCCATTGTGGATTGCAGTGCTTGGAGCTGTGCGCTGTACAGCAGTGACCATCCAACAGTTGTCTCCTGTAGCCACAGTCAGAGCTCGATTCCCAGATACCTCAGTCTGCAGGTGCTCGAGAGACCTGTGTGACACGGCGTAGCATGTGCATGTAGCCTATTCCACAGACGGTCTTTCACACTTTAAACCATCTCCAGTTTACTAATAACCCTGGTGCAGTAGAAACGTTGGGTAAGCAGCTGTTGCACAGTACTGTTTAGGGGATAATGGTAAGAAAAGTCTGCATGTTCAGTGCAGATGCAATTTTAAGAAATGTTTTTGACCCACAGTTGGCTGGACCCATGGATGTGGAACCAGGGACACTGAAGGCTAACGGTCCTGCAGGCCCAGCGTTACTCAGTGCTTCCACGGCGACCGCCCGCCAGTGCCCCTGCCACTAAACTCCTCGTCCATCCTCCAAGTGCCACCTTCCTGCAGTTCTTGCTTTGGTGAGTAGTGTTGTGATCCGTCTGGTTAAGACAGAAGTCTGGACACCTTCAACAGTCTGTGCTTTCTCCTTTTAAGTGGCCATTAATCACGACCCCTCATTTCCACCACCACACAGCTGTCTCGGAGCCACACCGCCCTTACCCTCGCCAGGGCTGCATTCGAGTTTAGGGAGCTCAGTTGTCTCCTGCGTCAATGATGAGAAGAACCTTTATGCTTGAATTACTACAACTAGCTCTCAACTGGTTTCTATAGTTTTAGAATCCCAGTCTTCCCTAAAGTTGTCAGAGTAATTTCTTTAAAAACAAGGTTACATTTGGAGATGTGGCTCTGCAGTGGAGCATTTGCCCTGACAGGCATAGCTGCAGATGGGTGCAATCCTCAGCACTACAAAAATGAATAAAGAGATTGGGCACATCAGTTAAGTCACTTAATAGTACCTTCTGGAACAATTCAGCCTTTTCATATGAAAAGCCCTGGTCTCAGCTGTACCTTTTTCTTTCCTCTTTACTCGCCTTCCTTTGCTTTAGCCTAGCCAGACACCCTGGTTATTTTAAGCGTACATGCCACGCCTCTGTGTCTTGGTCTGTGCTGTTTTCAGCCTTCGTCTGTCTCTCAGGGCGGACCTGCTCATCTTTCAGGTCTCAATCTGTGGGCCATCTGTCTCTCTTACTAGTGTCCAAAAGTTTGAATAGTTTCTATTTGTCTTTAAATGTATTTTTTATTGGTTTCTTTTGCTAAGACCTTTAATAATTTGAATGTATTTGTTTTAGTATGTTGTACTATATAAACTTAATTTTCTTACAATAATATTCCCAAAATGTAAGTGTCTCAGGAAGGAAGTTTACAGAAATTGTTGAGCTGTCGTAGTTCATTATCTCACAGGAAAGTATACAGTCCCTGGGATGTCATATAAAGCTGAAGAATGGCGACCGCAGCTCTTATCTCTAACATACCCTGCACGGGATTGTCCTGAAGCATTTTTCTTTAATCTTTGATGTACTTAGCTCATCTCTTTCACTGTATTATAATATATTATATTATGCACTGTTTGGAGTAAGCCCTCTTTTTCTTTTTTTGGCCTGATGATTCCCCCACCTGTAAGTGCTCAGTATGTTGAGTGAGTGATCTCTTTTAAATGACATGAAAAATTGTTTGCAAGATAAAGCACTACTTCACGCCCCTGTCTTTAAAAGCTTTGAATTAAGCATTCTGGGAAACCAAGTTAACTTGTGCTGTTTCACAGCATCTGTGCAGAATGTCATCTGACGAGGACAAATACTCACTTCGTGTTGCTCACAACAACTCTGATCATGACAGTTCCATCTCCACAGATCTCCAGGTAGGAAAACATCTAAATTTATTATTAATTTTTTTTTATTTTAAAGCCTAAAGCCTTCTGTAATGCTGTATGCCTTTAATCCCAGTATTCAAGAAGCAGAAGCAGGGGTATCTCTTTAAGATTAAGGCCATAGAGAGTTTTGGGACAGTCAGAGCTACAAAGACAGACCACCTCCCAAAAAACAAAATTAAAGTGTTAATTTGTGACAAAACTAAAAGTACATTTTGTTATTTACTTGTTCTACTTACAATGAAATACTGCATTTACAATATTATCAAACTTAGAGAACTCTACTAATTTGGGGAGTATATTGTTTTAAGTGTGCAGAAAATAGCTGTGAACTGTTACAAAGCTTTTTTTACAAAGGCTTTAACATAGTAAAAAATAAAACTCAAAGTTTCAGAAACATTTTGTGAAGTGTTCATATTGAACTGCCTCTGCTGAGTGCTCTCATTCTTACTGTAAAGTAACAGAACGTAAGCCCATCTGAAGTTCTAGAGCCCAGGATTCTCCAGTGGTCTATACAGTCAGGTTCTGGTTCCTGTTGCCACAGACACTGACAGATAAATTAGGAGAACTGACTAGGTAAGGGCGTCTTATTTATATGAGAGAGTCAAATCCCAAAGACCATGTTTTCTAACTACCTTAGCTGCAAGGGAGGTAGAAGAAATTGATGACCATTTGCCCAGGTCAAACCCTGGGGCTTATTGATTTACAGGAGTGAAGGAGAAATGGCTGCTCATGGTCCATTAGCAGGTCTACCACAGGAGACTTGGAATTCTATATATTTTATTAGAGTCAACTCACATATAGGTTTATAGAAAGCAACAGATACCTTGTATCTTATCCACATTTATCAAGTTAGGGTTGCCTTATATCTTAATAACTGAAAACCTTGGCATTTCCCTTTATTTTAATAACTAGATATAATTTATAGTATTTTTAATTTAAGAATATTTAAGGCCAGGTGGTGGTACGCACACCTTTAATCCCAGCACTTGGGAGGCAGAGGCAGATGGATCTCTGTGAGTTCAAGGCCAGTCTGGTCTATAGAGTGAGTTCCAACATGGGCTCCAAAGTTTGTCTTGAAAAACAAACTTAATTGATTAATTAATTATTTTAAAAGAATTATCATTAATTTAAAGAATTACAATTAATTTACTATAAAGAATTATAATTGCTGTAGACGTCATGATATGCTAAATGATTTTTTTTCCCTGACACAGAGTTTCACTTTGTAGCTTCAGGCTAGCCTGGAACTGACTGTTTAGCCCATGCTAGTTTCAAACTCGTGATCCTCTCATCTCCACTTCTCAGTGCTACAATTACAGGTCTTCACATCTGCACCTGCTACACCTTCTACTTAATCCTAGGATATGGTTTGAAGTTGCTTTGTGGGGCGTCACTGAGGAAGAGTTGCTCAGAGCCATGTGAAGGCTCTGGTGTTTAGGTCTGTCGGCCAGCTTTCTGTCACTCATAGGTGTTTGCTTCTCTTCTTCACAGCGTTAATATACACTGCATAAAGAGTGTATTTCCTTCACCTAATGCCTAATGCGTAGGTGTGTTAAATAGACTCCACATTGAAATTCAAACCTACTCAGTCTTTCACACTGAAATTTCACAATTTTCAAACAGAAGAATACAAATTCCTTTTATAATTTTACTTAAAATTCCAATGCTAAAACAAAGCTACAATCATACAGATTTATTTTATGAACTCAAATCCATGCCATTTCTTCTAAGAACAGTAGCAAAAATAAGAGAGCTACCCTGTGAGTATGTGCTTGAAACTAAGGAAAACAAAATGCCTGTGTAGTTTCATAAGTTTGAGTTTCCAGTTTGCTTCTTTTGAGTTGCATAATAGCAAGAAAATTTTTGTACCTTGTATGGTGGTGCATGCCTGTCATGCAAGTACTCAGGAGGCTTAGGCAGAAAAATTGCAGGCTCAATAGCAACCTGTACTACACAGCAAGTTCTAGCCTGAAGAGTATAGGGAAGTCCTGTCTCAAAATAAGAAAGAGAGGTGGGAGGGAGGGAGGGAGAGAGGGAGGGAAGGAAGGAAGGGTAAAAGGGAAGAAAGGAGAGAGAAAATATAAACAGTCTTAATTGAAGTACTTGAAATTGAGAGTGATAGCTTTTCAACACCATGTCTTCTCATCTTCAGTGAAACTGATCTGAAACATAAGAAAGAAGAGATAGAAAAATATTATATGAATCACCAACATCTGTTTCCTCTTTAAACTTTTAACTGTAAATATAAAAGTCATACTAGAAGTACTCAAAGGACTCAAACTTAGCATAAGAGTCAGACTTTTCTGTATTGTGGTAAGAATATGACTGTTATGTGATTAAGTAGTTTTCTTAACACAACAAGAAGTTGAGTGGTTGGATGCAGCACAGTAACTACTACAATCCATGACTGTTACTGCTTCTCCTAGGAGGAGTATGAGGAATTGCTGCGCTATGCTATTGTGAATCCAAATGTTGAATCCGGTGCTTCACAGCCGTCTCATCCAAAGGGAGAAGTGGTACCAGATAGATTTCCTATGCCAGCTGGTATGTTTTGCTAACCAGGTTATGTACAGTTGTCAAGATACCACGTAAGATCGTGAGTTTGTCAGTGATGGGGACATTATTGTGGAAATGTTCCTTGCCCTCAGCGGTTTCTTCTCAGTCCATGGTGTAAGGCAGTAACACATGGGTCCTGCTTTGCATTTTACTGTGTTGCTCCTGGCTCTTGACTTTTTATTTAAAATTCAGTTGACTTTTAACTTTATGAAAATGACTAAAGTCAGAGTAACACAGTGGTGATTATCTCTTAGTGGGATATGTTATGCCTCGGTTCTTGATCCAGAAGTTTTATGTGAGGATTACTTTGAAAACTAAATGCCCAAGCCCACCTTTAAAAACCCCAACACTGCCCTCTGGGAACCACATACTAGTACTTTGTCAGCGATATTTATGTGGGCAGGAGGATGGACTGGGTTATAGACAAAGGTGAGCCGTCGTGTGGACTGTCAGCGATACTTATGTGGGCAGGAGGTAGACTGGGTTATAGACAAAGGTGAGCCGTCATGTGGACTGTCTGCAGTCCATCTGGAGTCTGGCACAGGCCGCGTTGTGCTTTGCTAGAAGGGGTAAAGGAAGAAACAGACAGGAAGCTCTTTTTACCTCTAAGTAAAGTACAAGCTCAAGCAACTCATTCTGAGTAAGTAAGAGCTCTCTCTTTTGTATTTATTTATTCATGAACATGTGTATGTTCACGCCTACATGCACCTGCCCACAGGGATCTGTTATTTCCTTTCATTGTACGGTTTCTAGGGATTGAACTCAGGTCAAGCTTGGCAGCAAGCGTCCTTACCCACTAAACCATCTCATGGCCCTGAATAACCATTCTTTGAGAGGGCTGAGACAGCCAACATGAGAAGTCACCATGTAGTTGGCTTGCCCCTAAGGATAACTGTCCTTGAGGATGCATTTCACAACGCACACAGAGACAAAAGGCTCCTGGGTTTCTGCTGAGTCACAGCGCTAGTCTCTGTTCCTCATTCCCTCTGTTTGTTCATCCCCGCCCCCTCACCATGTTCCATCTTTAGACTGCTGCACTGGAACAAGAAATAAGACTGGAGGACCATGACTTCAAATAATTTACCATGGCAGAATGTTTTCTGTCCAAATTTCAATTCGTTTAAGAGATATGACCCCTGGGTTTACTCACTATGCGTCAGGAGTGTCAATCATATTTTGATTACACTGAGTACAGTTCCTACTGACCAAACTAAAGTACTGCAGACTGATTAATATAAACAGGCAAGGGCTGGGAAGGGAGTTCACAGGCCAAGTGCTTGCCATGTAAGTTTGAGGATTTGAGTTTGAAATTCCCAGTGCCCATGTAAAGCTAGTACAGTGCGAGTCTGCCCTTCAGGCAAGGTGGAAGGCCGAGATGGGAAATCCCAGAAGCTCACAGACTGGGCAGCTGCATGCACAGCATTGAACACAGAGACCCTGTCTCAAACACAGCAGGCAGGCATCTCCGCAAACATGTCATCACATAGGCACACAGACTGTGTGTGTGCACTTACAGATGTTATATCTGTACCTTAGATAGATACATAGAAAGTAAGCAGTGTTCTCAAATAAAGAAGTACAACTGAGCAATGCTTGACCTCTCCAACAATCGGAAATTCAAATCAAAGCCATATTGAAATTCCCATCTTACCCCACAGAAAAGCTGTCATCCAAAACACAAAAACAACAAATTCTGGTGAAAATATAAGTACAGGGTAGACTTAACATGCTGCTGGTGGTGGGAGTGTGGACTCGTGCAGCCTCTAAGAGAGGCATTGTGGAGAATCCTCTCAAAAGTAGATGGATACAAGTTATGAAAAATGATTGCAAGCCTTTCTAGTTCTAATTCTGTCATGGATTTTTTGTTTTGATGGTAGGTAAGTGCATAAAATATATTTGATACTAAAAGTATAAAATTTAATGTGGAGCTAGCTTCACAACTTCCATTCCGAATGCCAATTCTAACTGAATTATGTTGAATAGATAATCTTTGGGCCTGCTTAATTTTGGTGTGTGTTTTGTTGTTGTTGTTGTTGTTTTCTTTTTTAAAATAAACTGAAACTAGGACTACCATATGGCCCAGCTATGTGCCCCGGATAGACACTCAGGAAACTGGGACTGCCATATGGCCCAGCTGTGTGCCCCTGGATAGACACTCAAGAAAATCCAAGCTAGTGTGCAACACCTCACACCTATATTTATGCAGCACCATTCACTGTAGCCATGGCATAGAATCAGAGAACAGTGGGGTGTTGTTCAGGCGTGAAAAACAAAATCATGTTGTTTGCAGAAAAATTAATGGAACCTGAGAATCATCAAGTTAAGCAAAACAAAAACAAACCAGCCTTTGAAAGACAAATAGTGCATGTTTTTCCACATATGTGGAATATGGATTGTTTTTTTTTTTTGAAATTTAAGACATAAAAGTAGAAGGAATGTTATTTGAAGGTAAGAGGACCAGAGGAGCAGGGACAGCAGAGTAGGAAGGGATGTGTATGCTGTCTGCATGCCTGAGAATGTCACAGTGAAGCCACTGTCTTGTACAGTGCATGCACATATTTTTTTAAGTAGTTCAGTTTAATTTTAGGTGTGTGTGTGTGTCCTCCCCCCACCCCCCGTTTTATTCTTTCTGGTAGGAAATAATCCTGTAAAAGAAACTGCAATGGAAATTGGAAAAGGATGTGATATTTCCAGCTACTCAAAATCAGGTGGGATGACGGTTCCTTAGTTTGTTTCATTAAGTACAGTGTACTTACCGGAATAATGTCAGCATATTACTTAATAATCAGACTTTTAAAATGCTCTTTGTTGCTGGTTTATGTGATAATATTTAAATCTTGGGCAGTATCATTGCAGGTGATCTTTCAAGTTCTTAAGTTATATGATTCTATTTTGTAAACGGTGACTATTTCAACAATAAAAGCACAGATGGACATGGTGGTGGAACATGCTTACAACCCCACCACTTAGGACATTGAGACAAGGGGATAGCTAGTTTAAGGCCAACCTGGGCTACATAGACCCTATCTCAGAAAAAAAAAAACACACACACACAACAACAACAAGAAACAGTAGGGGGAAAGCAAATACATATTGCATAGCAGATGTGCCACTTAGGGAATAATTTTTCTTCTTGTAAGGAGTTCTGGAAAGATTTGCTTTTAAGTAATAAGTTGTATAGTGATCCTGTCATTGATTCATTTTACAGGAAAGTCCTTCAGTCCTGGTTACTAAAATCTTCATAGTTAGTGTGGGATACACGAGAAATGATGGTGGATAGTGTCTAACTCTAGTAAATCTGTAATAGAAGATTGACTTTTCTACTGTAGCTTTTTAGAGACAGAGGCCAGTTATCTGCCTGGCTCTCCCCCATCCACTGAGTAATGGCAAGTGCTGAGAGCTACGTGTCTATGAACATACATGTTGATTGGTCTGCATAGTTCTCATCCACAGTATCTGATAAACTAACTAGCCCCTCAAATCTTAACAATGTTAAGGGCGGTACCAGCACTGAATATAAAGCAATAGTGGTCTATATATGACTGCCCTCACCTGGTCAGTTAACTCTCTGATCCCTAGTTTTCTCCTTAAGGTCTAGAAAATACCTACCTCCTAGGATGGCATGTGTGACCTAGCCCTTAAACATTTTTATCACAGAAAGGTAAAAGCATTTAATGTTAATGTGATGGTATGTCTTCAGTTCAGACTGGACCAGGGTAAGACACATCTTTGTTTGCTGTTTGTGAAGGGTGGAAGGGGTATAGAAGGCACCCACGCCAGTCAGACCTCAGTCAATGACAGTACTGATATCACAGTCACCCACACTGAGGTAGACCTCTGTGTTTTACTCAGCCTCCAGGGTTGACAGACATCTTGTAACCTTTTGATATTGCTTTGCCAGTTGGAGAATTTCCCATTTCACCTGGCTGCTGCTTGATTGTTTTGCCTTTCTTCTAGGGTCATCACCGGTCTCGTCACCCAGGAAGCCCTCTCACCCAGTCATGGATTTCTTCAGTTCCCATCTTTTAGATGACTCTTCCTCACCAGCCTCTACTTCTACTCATAGAGATGCCCATGAAATAATTGTGGGTGATCGTCTTGTTCCTGATGAAAATCTTCAGAAGGTGGAGAATATACTTGACCTCTGGAGTGCAGGTCTGAAGGTATTGCACTTGCTCTACTGCAGTCTGACACTTGAGCGCGCTCTCTCTCCTTCCCTCCCTCGCTCTCTCTCTCTCTCTCTCTCTCTCTCTCTCCTTCTCTTCTCCTTCTCTCTCTCCTCTCTCTTTATTTTTAATTTTTCTAGAAAACAAAAACCTAAACCTTTAGGTTGCTGAAATGATGCATCCAGTGTCTCAGATTTGTGCTCCTCAGTCTTTAGTGCACATATGAACTGCCTCAATGTCTTGTTAACTGTGGGTTGGTACTCAGTACGTTTTAGGTGGGGCCTAAGATTGCATGTTTCTATTACACTCCTAGGTAATGTTGGTGGTTTCTAAACCCTACTTTGAGTTGCAAGGTTTCCAGGAGTTTCTAGGATACTATATGTTCTGCCACATTTCTCGTGTGTTTTAAAGGACTTCTTGATGATGTTCAGACGATTGACACTGTTTCTCTCTTCAGACCCTAGTGATGACAATAGAGCCTTAGGAGGGCCATATACCTGGAGTCCCAGCTATTTGGAAAGCTGGGATTGAAGGACCTTTTATGTTTAAAAATATATATACTTTACCAATGCATATTAATTTTATAGCAGCCACATTGTCTGAAGAATCTGAAAGTGTTTTTTATTTGGTGATGTTAATAGCCTGCCAATAAAACAATATTACAGAAATGTTCTGATTTTTGCTATTTTTTTTTTTAATTGAGGGGCTGGAGAGATGGCTCACTAAAGAGCAAAAGTACTGTTCTTGCAGTGGGTTGAAGTTCAATTTCCAGCACCCTGTCGGTGGGTCACAACCTACTGGAACTCTAGCTCCAAGGCATCTGAAGCCTATGGCCTCAAGGGCACCTACACTTGTGTTCATGAACCCACACAGAGACTTATGCATAACTTAAAACAAATACCTTTTTAAGTAATATGATTTAACTATTCCAAAATGGAGAAGATGAACTTTACTGAAGCATATAGTATGTATTTACATAAAGTTATGATCTTATGAATTCTGTGGTCTATATCTTCCTTAAACTCTAGAAGTGCTCTGCCAGCAGTTTGTACCATCCTCCCCTTGGAGCAGGTTTCCTGGTGTGGAAATAGAGGACGTCTGTTGCAGTATTGTACAGACAGCCATTCAAACGACTCTCTGTCAATTAGCCAAGAGTACTTATTGAAGGTTTTTGTTGTTTTTAGATGCTCACTGATGGCTTGGTGTTTTTACTCATGCCAGTCAGTAGGGTGAACGGGCTGAGCTCTTTGTTGTCAGATGACTATTGTGGTAAATTGTTTGGGGAAAAACCTCAGCTCTATGGTTTCAGCTACCACCACCACCACTAATCAACCCGTCATTGTGCCTCAGTTTAGCCCATATTCCTACATTTCTAAACCTGAACCATTTTTTGTTTAAATTTTTTTGACATTTTATGTTTTTAGTCTTATGTGAAGGGACGTTTCCTCCATGTATATAAGTGCATCCATGCTTGCGGTGCCCATGGGATGGCAGAAGAAGATATCAGATTCACAGGGCGAGAGTTGCATATGGCTAGCCACCATGCAAGTACTAGGAATTGAGCTCAGGTCTTCTAGAAGAGCAGCTAGTGCTCGCAGCTGCTGAGCCATCTCTCCGCCCCATCTAACCTATGGACATTTAAGTCTGTGACTACAAAGAATGTAGTGAATGAAACCTGAATCTTTTTTAGTGTCGTAAGATTTCATACAAAGTAGCATACATTGGGAAAGTGGAGAGCCACGGCTGTTGAGCTTGCTCACATCGTTTATTAGTATGCTGGGATTTTTTTCTTTTAATAGCTCTTGTTTTGACCTGCTCTTTTTAATGTTTATTTTCAGTTTAATTTTGAGAGTGGTTTTAAAGAAGAAATGACTTATTTCCAGTATGTTTTCTTTTCAGACAAACGTTCTGTCTGAACTCAGTAAGTGGAGACTTAATTTTCTCGACTGGCACCGTATGGAGATGAAGAAGGAGAAGGAAAAGCACGCGGCGCTTGTGAAGCAGCTGTCGAGCCAGATCGCTGACTTGAAGGAGCTGCAGAAAGCCTTTGAAGTCTCCCTCAGAAGGAAGGATGAGGTCCTCTTTTCTATGCCTCCCTTTAGCGAGACTCAGCGGACGCTCAGTAGAAATATAGTTCTGAGCTGTGACTATCCTGTTCCCATCAGACAGAGCAGGAAGCTAATGTTAGACACAAGGGTAGTGGGCTCCATCTGGAAGCTCTGGCTTTGGTGTTTGATGATGTTTTAAGAGCCTGCTCAATGTAGACACAGACATACTAGGTTTTTCTACCTGATCATTTTTGTAACTCATTAACATCAAGGAGCCAGCATTACCTACATTCTCCATCCTTGTGGATGACAGGATAAGCCTCTCAAATGCTCTCAGTGAGATAAACACAGAAAAACCAGAGGGTAGAGTTCAAACTGGTCCAAGTTTTCTTAACTCCTGATCACATCTTAAACAAAATAGTGGGCAGTGAGCCTGTGCCTCTGCTGACTCACATCTGTTTATGGATGGGAATGTGCTAGATGTCACAGGGATGGGGCAGGCGCAGCTCGCCTTACGAAGCTGCAGGTTTATTACTGCTTGACTCTTTGAGAGGGTCTTACTGTGTCGCCTAGGCTGGCCTCAACTCAGTATGTAGCTCAGGCTAGCCTCTTCACTGGAAATTCTTCCGGCAGTCTCCCAACTGGGATTATAGACCTAATCTTTACAACAGGCACGAATATTTTTTTCAGATGTACAGTTACTGTTCTTTACTGGTGTAGTATAAAATCAAGCATTTTGTGTAGTATGCTTTGTTTGAAAGGATTTCTCTATTATCTTCAAAACTCCTAATTTTTCTGACCTTGAAGAAGCATACAAAATGAGTATGCTTGCATCCTGTTTATGAAAGTGGATAAAATGAGCAAGCCTTATATTGCCATCCAACTTAAGACAGTGTAGCGGACAACTTAGAATGCGCTTTCTTATTTAGAAAGCAAGGCTGGGCATTGTATACATGTAATCTCTGTATTTAAGAGGTGGAGACAAGGAGGATCACAGGTTCAAGGCCAGATGTGAATACAGCAAGTCTGATCTCAAAGGGGAAAAAGACATAAACTAGAACTCATGTCTTGTGGGTTTTGTGGTTTACTGAGGTCCTTCCAATGTGTCTTATTTCAGATACATCCAGTCATGCGGTTCTCTGGAAAAACAGTATCTTAGAAGTTAAATGCTTTATTTTAAGGATAGTAATAATGTCATTCAAGAAAACCTTTAAAACGGAGCTATTGTGTTTATCAATTTGCTGAAACCACAAAATAATTAAATGCTGAGAAAGACATTTCAGCCAGACCCTTTTCATAAGTCAGATAAATAAAGACTTTCTAAATATGAAACAGTTACCTCCATAAGGTTAAATGTTAGGAAGTATGTTAATCCTCACGCATGTAAACTTTATTGGAGAGTAGCAAGATGTACGCACAATGATTTCTTTTCCTTTTTCCCATCGTTCATCAATACTTACCACATTGACATGAGAAACATGGTCTCTGAAATAACAGTCTGTGTCAAGCATGCCTGCAGTCCCCGCACTCAGCACTCTGGAGGAGGAGGATCACAAGTTTGAGTCCAGCCTAAGCTACATAGTGAAACAATGTTTCAAAAAACAGAAAGATGAGCTAATTGATGAATAGAGGCGATACCTATAATTATTCTCTATACATTTTTACATGAGAAAATCACTTTCTGAAAATGAATACGCTGGGGGGCTGTAGAGATGGCTCTGTGGTTAAGAGCATTGCCTGCTCTTCCAAAGGTCCTGAGTTCAATTCCCAGCAACCACATGGTGGCTCACAACCATCTGTAATGAGGTCTGGTGCCCTCTTCTGGCCTGCAGACATACACACAGACAATATTGTATACATAATAAATAAATAAATAAATATTTTTTAAAAAAAAAAAGAAAATGAATAAACTGAGCAGCCAGGCACCCTGTAGCTTAAGACAAAAGAAAACCCGGAAGGTTGGGTGTCCTTTCCATGAGTCAGCCGCTGCTGTCCTGGTGTCACAGTAACTGGGTTATTACTGTTCACAGGTGATTTCCAGCTTGTCTCATGCCATCAGCAAGCAAAAGGAAAGGACAGAGTTGATGAAAACCTTCTTCCACTGGCGAATCAGCCATGTCAAGTCAAGACAGGATGTGAGTATGAACAGATGACCACTGTCAGTCAGCTGTTAGACTTCTAATTAGAGAGACTTTGGGGTGACTTACTAGACCTCGCTGAAGTCAAAGATTGTTTTCTAATGAGTCAATACAAATTAGGTCGTAATGTTGCTCTGATCTCAAGAAATTTGATTTTGATACATTTAGAAAAATACCTCCCAGATTGTATTGATGTAGGACATATATATATGACAGATAAGGCGTTTGCTGCTTCACTGTAGTTTAACAGGGTTATACCTGACATTTCAATACTTGGCAATGAAACTCTTTAAGACACTTGACCTTGGAAGCAGTTATTTGGGAAAAGAATTTGTAGCCTTAAATAGGCCATTTGCTTCCTTTCTTGTTTCTGCTTCTGACATGTCTATTAAAACATAGCAGCCTGATGTGTGTTCTCAGCTCCTCAAGGCTGCAGCAGGGGATCGCTTGAGCCCAGGGTATGGTCCCAGCCTGGGAAACATAACAAGATGTTGGCTCTAAAAGAAATGCTGATGATAATAAATCCTAAGTACATCCTCTTCATAAACAGACATTACTACTTTTACACTTAAAATGAAGCAGGTAGTGTTTGTTCAAGACTTGACTTAGTGTGAGAATTAAAGAAGGTCATATTAGGTAGGTTTTGACAGGTTTATACCAGAATATCACACTTTCAATAAGTAAATGCTTGGTGTATCAAAAATAATGATAGTTTGTAATATTTGTTCTTTATTAGTAATAATTGTTATTTATCAAATTAACAAAGAGCAATAAATTAATGAAGGAAGAAATGTTTGTATGCACTGTGGTCTCAGCAATTGAGAGGCGGGGGCAGGAGGATTGTGAATTGCCAGCTTAGCGTGCAGAGCAAAAAAACACTGTTAAAAGTAGAAAAGTGGGGCTGGAGAGAAGGCTCAGCAGTTAAGGGTGCATGCTGCTCTTGCAAAGGACCCACACCAGATGGATCATAACCAGCTGCACCTCCAACTCCAGGGCATCTACCTACCACCTTCTGGCCTCCACCTGCACTTGTGTACATGGACACACATCACAAAATTTTAAATAAAATAACTGTCTAAAATGCAGAAAAGTATGAATGTGTATATGCCATAAAAAACAGAATGTAGAAATCTCTGATTAAAGGAAATGAATATAGAGATGTAAAAGACATGAATATAGAAAGTATAGGCTATGTTCACATAGCCCTGGAGTAGTTCTAAGAGATCAATACTTAAGGAGAATATTATCATGAATCTCCTTTAAGAGTACCTTCTGTTAGATCTCCTGAAAATTGGGAACGTGGGGATAATGGGAGAGGGTAGAAACAGAGGGAGGGGAGGGAGGGGAAGGAAGAAAAATATATAAATAAAAGCAGTAAAACTAAAATAAATAAATAAAAATAATTAATGGACCAAAAAAAGTATCTTGTATTAATCCAGGTGTACCGAATACACATTCATCACATTGAAACAAGCTATCCAGGGGCTGGGGACATGGTTCAGTCAGTAAAGTGACTGCTGGTCTGCCGCATAAGCACGAGGGCCTGTGTTCACATCTCTAGCGCTCAAATCAAAGCCATGCATAGCAGCACGTAGGGGCTGGAACGGTTGGAGGATCTCTAGAACTCATTGTCCACCCTAGCTGAATCAGTCTCTAAAAATAAGGTAGAGAAATAGAGGAAGATAACCTACATGGACCACTGATCTACTCGCACATACACACATGTACATGCCCATGTGAACATGCATACACCACACTTAGGAGATGGGTGGATGGGTGAAACTGTCTAAAATTAGTGTGCCGTAATTTTAAAAAGTATGTGTTAAGTGACACATGATGAGAATATATATTTTTAAATGCTGGCTAGAACTGTCAAGTTGTCATCACTGTTGAATAGTATCTTAATTTTAAGAAAATGAAGAAATGCAACTACTTAAAAAGCATTCACTGATGAAAGAAAAATAGTTGATGTTCTCTATTTGTTCAGCGTAGTGTTGCAGAGGGTGACAGTGTGGGTTAATTATTTCCGCAAACAAAAGGGAAAGTAGAACCACCCAAACCATTGCTACCACCTTCCGCCTTCCAGCCACTGTGTTCCTCTCCAGTTCCTGCTTTCAGCTAAAGGTCATGCAGACTCGTGACTGAGATGACACATTTCTTGTTTTCTCTCTGACTTGATAAGTCCTGTTGAGCTGTAATGTCTTGGCCAAGAACCAGGCAAGCCTGACTTCTCCATCCCCACCTATGTGGCCCCACCAGTTACTGAACCTGTCTAAGCCAGTTTCCCATGTGCAGCAGCGTGATTGTATAGGATTAGTGATGGCATCCGTGCCCTTCCCACTGTGCTGGTTTTTGTTACACTCCTTATACATTTACCAGTTCTCTGTGGTTCTAAGGTTGGGTGTTGCCTTTGTTCAGGTCTATGAAGATAAATTGGCTGACCAGTACTTCCAGAGAACTTTGCTGAAGAAAGTCTGGAAGGGCTGGCGCTCCGTGGTTCAGAGGCAGTGGAAAGAGGTGGTGGAACGGGCATGCCAAGCGAGGGCTGAAGAAGTCTGTGTGCAGATCTCCAATGATTATGAAGCCAAACTTGCTATGGTAAGCTGCCTACAGGATCAACTAAGCAGGGCTCACAGGGGCACACAGAAGCTGAAGCTCAGTCATGGGTCTGAGCTAGGTCCTCTGCATATATGTTACGGTTGTGTAACATGGTGTTCTTGTAGGACTCTTAACAGTGGGAGTAGATGTGTCTCTAACTCTTTTGCCTGCTCTTGGGACCCTGTCCCTCCTACTGGGTTTGTGTCTAGTTTTGTTGTAACGTATTATGCTGTGTTTGGTTGATATCTCTGGGAGTCCTGCTCTTTTCTGAAGGGGAGCTAAGGAGGAGCAGATCTGGGGGAAAAGGGGAGGTTTGGGGGGGTGTTGAAAGAAGTGGATGGAGAGGGGAAACTGAACAGGATGTAATATATAAGAGAAGAATAGATAAAAAATAAAGTTTCCACTTTGTATAGTAGAAGAAATGTATAGAACACAGCACTGAGCCCAACACGTTAAGAAAGTAGACTGAGAATTGAACTTGGTTCCTCCTGCTCACAATTTAAGCAGTTTCCTGACTGAAACATCTCGCTAGCTCTGTAAAATTTATTTTCAATACTATTGTTATAAGAAAGAAAGACTTTTTCCTTTTAAAATGATTTCAAAAGGCCCTCTGCATTCCAAATGTCTAGTTTTCTCTAACCCCTTTCATGATCCAAATGATTTCCTATGGAAACAATGTTAATTCTAGTATTGAAAGTCGGAGAAAAAAATAATTCAATTTATAAACATTTGCTTTATATCGAATTTACATAGAAGCATAGTTTATTTGAATTAATAAAGATAAACAATTTTAAATTTTTGTTGTTGGCTATATAAACACTAAGAATTATAGCCTAACTGGGTCCAGTAGCATATATCTATAATCTGAGCACTTGGGAGGTAGAGAAAGGAATATTTTAAGGTCACCCTTGACTGCATGGCAAGTTTGCGACCAGCCTAGGCTACAGGGGACCCTGTCTCATAAGATTAACTAAGTAGATAAAAAGCAAAGAATAACCTTGGTCTTTCTTTTGTTTCAACCCCCTTCCCCTTTGTGTAATTCTTTAGTTATCTGGAGCTTTGGAGAATGCAAAAGCTGAGATTCAAAGAATGCAGCAGGAAAAAGAGCACTTTGAAGACTCCATGAAGAAAGCGTTCATGAGGGGGGTGTGCGCTTTGAACCTTGAAGCCATGACCATATTTCAGAACAAAAACGATGCAGGTGAGTAATTTATGGATGATTCTCTGCTTAGTTTCAAAAGAAACTAAGCAGATCCGTGGCTGGTTGGTTATATTCTGAGTGCGCCTGGTCTCTACATCACTCGTCTGTGCTTTCCTAGGCTCATGCCCAGCTCTGAATCCACCGGAATAGTGAGTTTATTCATTGCCCCTTGTGCTTTAGAGCTGATGAATAGGAGTCTCAATTTTTCCTTAAGCTCAGTGATAAAATGATTCTTTTTATCTATCTATCTATCTATCTGTCTGTCTGTCTGTCTGTCTGTCTGTCTATCTATCTGTTTATTTGAGGCAGCATCTAAGTTGGCCTTAAATTCATGTCCTGCTTCAGCTTCTCTGGACTGGAATTTTAGGTATACATCACCATGCACAGCCAAAATAATGTTTAATTTTAACATTTAACATTTTGAGATCCTCTTAACTAATAATTTTAATGCCTCTAAAGATAAAATTTCTAGTTTCATTTTAGCATAGGTTGCCACATTACATAGAAAAGTTAGTTGATTAAATATTTCTAACCTAGTCATAGTTTCCTAAAACCTATTAAAATCAATAAAATAATTTTTTGAGTCTATGTAATACCTGGAATCTTTTTGTAATAGTTTGTCTGCATGGATTAGAACACTATAAACTGCCATCAGTTTATAGTGGGGCCATTTCTCTCATTGGGCTTTAGACCCCTTCTCCAAGTAAAGCCCATAACATACCTGCTTCAGGGAACTCTTAACAGAGGCAGTGCAGTGAGCAGAAGGTACCCTGTAAGACAACACGGTCGTGTAAGACCCTGCTTACATACAGTTGTCATCTTGAGTCAGGCTCCCAAGGTCATGAAAGTACCTGAGCACTTCTTCAGTATTGCCTCATATCACATCCCACTGGGGGACTCTGCTAATAAATCAGAAGTGACTTCGTCTTGTTACACTGTGATTTGATCACACTGTGAAAAGCATGTCTGTGCTTGGCTTGCCTTCGTTTTAAAGCATCAGCAACCATTTCTTACTAAGTCACAAATGGTACTGAGTGGTGATGTTAGGGCACCGTCTTTCCAGCAGAGTTAGCCGTTGACTATAGTCTGTATACAGGTTAGACTTAGAATTGCAAAACCTCGAGGGTGACTAGTGTGTCTCAATAATACCCAATAATTTGGTCACCACACTAACCAGTTACTTTTTTGTTTATTTATCACTTTTCATTGTATATATGTATTTATCTATCTGTTTGGAGGAAGGAGGATGTGCACAAATCGTGGAGGTTGGGATGCTAGAGTCAGGTCTCTCCTTCCACCATCCTGCAGTTGAACTTAGGCCATCAGATTTGGTGACATGCACTTTCACTAGATGGACCCTCTCACCTGCTCCCCTAAATCCTTATGGGGCTTTTTGTGAAAAGGGTGGCAGATTAAAGCTTAAGTCCTTTTTGAGAGTTCGCTTATTCATGAGAGTTTCACTTCATTAAAGTCCCATGAAACCTTAGCTGGCTTTTCGGTCTTCATTTTAAAACATCCTTAAAATGGTGGATACAGAGTTGTTAAGCAGTTTCAGACACGGTGTAAAGTGAGAAAGCTGTCTCCCTGTCAGAGATCTGTGAACAGAAACTTCGTAATGAGCCCACAGCAGTAAGAGTTGGTCACCTGCCTCTTCATGCCTGACCTTTTCTCTGGTTTTAAGTCATGGATATCCGCCATGCAGGGTTACTTTCTGCCAGAAACATATTAAACCTGTGGGAGGGTATGTGGGGTGTGCTCATGAGTGTATGCGTGTGTGTGTGTGTGTGTGTGTGTGGTGTGCAGTTTCCAAAGAATAGGTGATATTTTATGTGGAACAGTTGTTTCCACCAGAGTTGGAAGGACCTTTGAACTGTGATCACTGTTAAACTTTAACAAGGTCACTGTCACTATGGATAGTTGTTGTATGGATAGTGTGCAGATCACTGAAGGCCAAGTTCTGGATGGGAAGAAGAGGCGTAGAAACTTTGACACGATGTCTTCCTCAGTATCTACATTTCATTTTCAAATTCAAGGAAAGTTCAAGTGAAAACTATCCAGATTCTAATTATGAGGGGAACTATAAAAAACTGGGTGAAGACCCTTGTCCTACCTTCTGAAAGTTGTCTCCATTCCCTCCCTAGAGCAGGGCTGGGTCCCTTTGTGAGGGCGCCATCCCTACAGCTGGTTCAGCAGGCAGGTGCTTTTTACTCATAATTTATGTCTCATTTATTTATGACTTCCTATCAGAAGAATAACTGAGGTGAGGCGGATGCTGATGTGGGAAGTCATTGCAGAGCTCTGCTAGTGGCCATTTGTCAGGATGGCTGTGTGAAGTGGGAAAGGCTGCAGATCTCCCACCCTGTGTGAGCACAGACGCCACCACTGTGGCTGTGTTTCGATGGCAGTCCACCTAGGCAGGCTCCAGCTGAGCGCGTACTTGATTCTTATCTCGTAACTAAGTGCAGATCATTTGTTAGCTTTCACCTCATCTGAAGTTGATAGTAGCCCGTGAATACTACACTGTATGAAGTGAACAGTGAACCCCCAAGATGACAAGTGTCTGAATTTCATTAGAACTGTATTTTAGCCATTAGTCCTTTCCTTGTCTAGAGGGTTGTAATCGTAATTTGGACTATTGTTAATAGAATGGTTTTGTGGTTTGTAGGGGTAGACTTCACGAACAATAAAAGGGAGGAGAGTGGTCCCTCTGGCCCAGGAAGAGAGCTGTCCGCTCATTTGGATACATCTTCATCTACAATACCTTCATCAGTTCCGCCGCAGCTGCTGCCTTCCGCAACAGCAACAGCAGGAGTCAGCGCCACTGCCATTCCCTCTGCAGCTTCCATGACCTCTGCTGGAGCCACATCTGCCTCTTCTGCTCATGTTCCTGTCTCTGTTCTTGGTGCAGGATCCGCAGCTACAACTGCCCCAGAAGAAATGGTGAGTACCGTGTGTGCAAGCGCTGCACTATGAAAGCCTCGAAGGCATGTGTGTCTTGTTATGGCGTTGGTGGGGATCTGGCTTTTGGTCCTTCATTTGTTCGTTCTGTGATTGTAGTGCTAAGGATCTAACCTGGTCAAGCGCCCATCCCCCAGCGCTGTAAAGGCGACATGGAGAACATGGAGGAAAAATTCAGTGTGACACTTGGCCAGCACACAGGAGCACGAGACAGGAAGTGGCCAAAACATTGGTTTGTAGCGAAAGTGATCCAAAAGTACTAGTCCAGAAAAATAGTTTGCACTTGAGACAATTAATAGCAAACTTTCTTTGAAGCAAACTAGTGGGTATTTTCAAGGGCTTAGAGGCTCAGAGATATTTTCTACCCCTTTTTTGTAGGTGACCTCTCACGCACAACAAATGATTGCGTCTCCGTCCATCTGTAATCCTGCTGAAATGGGGCAGCAGCCTCTCTCCTCCAGTCATTGCAGTCTCCGTAAGGGGATGTTTAGAGAAGGGGCTGCACCGGACAGAGCCTTAGTGTGGAAAGTGTGTATCTGAGATAGATCATTAACGAAGCTGTTGACAGAGCCCATTGTGGCTAGGACTCGGGAGGGAACTCAACTCTGCAGCCCCCTCCTGTCCAGTGTTGCTCTACACAAAGGCATTACCATTAGAAAGCTCTCAAGGCAGCTCTTTGCCTCCCTGCTTGATTCTAGCTGTTGATGTAACAGAAAAGACAATAGAAAGGCGTTTCAGTCTTTTTTTTTCTCTCTTTTTATTGTGTGGGGTAGGGGAGAGAGCGATAGAGAGAGACAGACAGACAGACAGACAGACAGACAGGCACTCTCACCCCAGGTTGGCTTTCAATTTGCATTAAGTTCCCGCCTGGGCCTCCCCATGTTGAGATTACAGATGTGAATGCTGAACTCAGCTGCATTGTCCTGAACCCTTCCCGACGGGCCATGACCAGCACCGCTGCTCTAGAGTGCTCTCTCTAAATGAAGACACAGCTTTGACCAGACAGCTAGTCGTATTTTATCTTCTAGCTCACTTGAATTTCTTCCTTTTAGAGCTACTAAGTTTGGAGGAAAATGTGTTGAGATCTGCTACTTGTTATGTTTGCTCTTGCCCGAAGTAAATTACATAGCACATGTGTATATGCATGTGTGGAGGAGTTTTGACTTAGAAATAAGACTAAAATTCAACCTTGACATTTGTTGAGTTGTGTTTATTTTCTATGACTATGCATCCCAGAGTGCAGTCCTATGTAGATGATCTCATTTACATGAACACAGTAGTAGTTCATCTAAATTTCTAACTTGCTGTTCGTGTTGCATATGCAGATCACATGCACAGCACTAGATATCTGCAAATCTCCTCCTCAAAGTAGGACTACATCAGAGTCTAAATTTAGACCTGCCCTGCGCACAAGCACATGTGAGGGAGTCGACTCCCGCCCTCACATTGCTTACTTCCTCGGATAATTCTGAAGTTTTCGAAACATGAAAAACATAGATTATGTAGACAGCCATTCTCGTTTGTTACACACGCGCGCGCGCGCACACACACACACACACACACACACACACACACATGAGCCTCCAGTTGTCCTGGTGATTGTTCATATTTGTAAATGTAGTGCTAAGGATCTAACCTAGTCAAGCTCCCACCCCCTGTAAGCGCTGTAAGTGGCTCTGGAGAACACGGAGGAAAAAGTCAGTGTGAACATGATCAAAGCTTGTATGAACTCAGGCCTGCACAGGGCCTGCCCCAGTCTGCAGCAGATCATTTGCATATATGTACGGCTTCCGGGTTAGTGTTTTATGGTCTCCTGAGTGACAAGTGGATCTCTAATTCTTGTGCCTTCTCTTGGGCTCTTTTCCTTCTGTTTGTTTGCCCAATTCTGATGGTTTAGGGTTTTTAATCTTACTATGTTTCATTATTATCCCTTAGAAGTCTGTTTGTTTTATAATGAGAGACAGAAGGGGAGTATACCCAGATGGGAGGGGAGTTAGGGAGGAACTGGGAGGAGTAGAGAGAGGGGAAACCATAATCAGGATATATTATGTGAGGGGGGGAATCTATTTTCAATAAAAGGGGCAAAGAGTAAGATGCATTTAAAAAAAAGAGTCAGCGTGCTACTTGAATCAACCCACAGGAAGTACTCAAGATAAAGTAGCCAAACCATTAGTCTGTATTGAAAAGTAATCCAAAAGTCCTGTCACGGAAGTGATAGTTAGAGCGCACATGCATGCTCAGGACCTAGAGAACGTCTTCCAGGCAGGAGACAGGAGACTCACAGGTAATCCTTCTGTAAGAACAGTGTGAAGGTTTCTCCTTTGTGTAGTTCAAATGCTCAGAAGTATAAGGCCAGCCTGTAGGCAGTTATCCCCCAAATTATCTTTCAACTCACAGAGCTGGACAGTAGATGGTGCTGTGCTCCTCCGGTTCTAGAGTGTAGTTGGAGCCACTGAGAGAAATGCTCCTTTAGTTGGATTTCCAAACTGTTTACTGAAGTTTTTCATCCAGCTTCTCCAGCTATCAGAACGCAAAATTATGAGTATTGTGAGGTGACTGTTGCGCTTTCCCTTTTTTAGATGAGGAGATTGAGGTGTTTAGAGAGGCTAACCCTTTGTGGACATAATTAGCACTCAAAAGAGTCCGTTTTCAGCAGACAGCCAGGCTAGGTGTGGTTATGGATTATAAATAAATCACCTTTCTAATATAAGCCTTACTCAGTGTGTTTTCTAATTTCTAATGTCAGTTTTTGTTCAATACTATCTGCTAATAATTTTTTCTCCCTGTCACCTAATTTAAAGAAATCTTTTCTAATAATTTTTCATAAAAATTCTTTCTAAAACAGCCTTATGCCTTTTAAAGACAGCTCTTTATTCACCGGCTTAAACTATTTGGGCTACATAAGTATTTTATAAATTTGTATGATGTCAGGGAATGCCCATATTGGCCAAAAGAGGGCACCTGAGCCCCTGGGGCTGGAGTTCTAGGTGGTTGTAAGTCAGCCACTATGGTGCTGAGAACAAACAGGAGGTGCTGTTAACAGCGCCCCATCCTCCAGCCTTTACTTCTTGTAAACACAATACAGTTAGCAAGTGACAGACCAGTGGAGACAAAGCGTGCCACCACGTGGCTGTTGCACTTGTGACCGTGGTGGAATCTGCGTGTGTTTTCAGCAGATGTCCTCTCGTCATCTCCTGAGACAGTCGGAAGCAGTTCTTAGCTGGGTTGGGGTAGCTGATCATCCATCCATCTGTATTTCCTGGCTACTCTGGTGTTTATCATTCCAAACTTTTCTGGGTTGTCAGGCATCCCTCCCTCTCCATGTGAGATGAGCTGCTGGGTGGGGGGGGGGGGGGTTGTCACCTTCGGGTGATGGAGGCTCAGTTCTACCCCAGTCTGCAGTACTTGGCTTTGGTTATTGGGTTTTTTCCCCACTGCTAAGAATCACACCCAGGGCTCAACACACAAGTGCTCTAGCACTGAGCTAATTCACATCTTCAGGGGATTTTCTTGTCAGCTATTAATTTTATTTCTAAAATAGCATTTATGATTTCTCATTTGGAGTTGGGGCCCAGCTTACTGGTGGGATTAATAAATCCCTGGCATACATGAATCATAGGTTTAATCCCTAATTGCCACTCTCCCAAAAAATAATCTTCATCTATTCACAAAATATTCTGTACCTCACATTTGCTGATGTGTATGTTATAAATGTGTATCATATATGAATTCCTGAAGATAGAAACATGAATGTAGTCCACAAAACATTTGTGTACATCTTTTCTTAATTTGTTTTTATTGCTTTTGTTTCTCTGTGGCTTTGGAACCTGTCCTGGAACTAGCTCTTGAAGACCATGCTGGCCTCGAACTTACAGGGATCCACCTGCCTCTGCCTCATGACTGCTGGGATTAAAGGTGTGCACCACCACCACAGCCCAGCCTGTTTTATTGTTCTTAAAAGTGAGTTGAGGGGCAGGGTGCCTGCAGAGGCTGGAAGTGTCAGGTCCCCCTGGAGCTAGATTACAGATGTTTATGTGCCTCTGATTTGGGTGCTGGGATTTTAGCTAGTTCCCTTGAAGTCCATGTGCTTAATCACTGAGCCATGTTTGCAGCTCTGTGAACATCTTAAAATCTGAGATTTGTTTGCACAAATACATAAGATCCATATCATTAATTTCAAAAGCAGGCTATGTTTTCAGTGACAGTCCTCCAAATCTCCTTCCCCAGGCTGTTAGCTGTTTGTTTCTGTCGCCTTTTCTTGAACAGTGTGTTCTGTCATTATCTTATATTATTAAACTGCATCATTTTCTGTTGCCTTCCTCCTGTAGATAAAGGATTTGAGCTGTGACACCATCTTAGCCTTCTGCTGCCCCCTTCCTGTGCGTTCATGTTTAGACATAGCTATTCCAGCTTTAAATTAAATCAGTACTTGAGATTCCTGTGTAAATATAGCTAAGCCTTGGATGTATATAATGACATTTCCTTCCAGCATGTTTTGTGTTCCTAGAATTAATTGCTTCATTTTTGTCTTTGCTTGGGTTTTTACAGAACTATAATGAATTCTTTGCAGATTCTTTAAGGAATTGGACAACCCTATTAAATGTTGTTTTCCTCTGGGTTGTTTTAATTTCCCCAGAGCCAAGTCTCCTTGATTAGCCTCTCCATGATTCAGTAGACAGCTCTGATCATCTGCAGCTGGATGCAGATAGAGAACCTTGGATAGGCTCAATGGGGAAAGGACCAGTGTTTAATCAATGCTTTTGGTAGAACTATTGAGGAAAAAACATGCATTTAGATTAATACTTCACGTGGCATTTTCAGGTACACCAAAATGAGTACATGTCAGAGAGCGTAAGTACTGCAGCTATCCTAAACAGATCATTTTCTCCCTCCAGTAAGAAGGGCTAATGATAAGATTAAAGACTGTGGATGCTGAAAAGTGAAACACGGGCCTGGGGAGATGGCTCAGCCAGAAAAAGTACTTGAGGACCTATTTCAGAATCCTAACACTTATTTTCCAGAAAGTTGGGCATGATTGTACATGATTGTAACTCCAGCATGGGGTGTATAGGAGGGCAAGGAGACAGATAGGTGGATCCTAGGAGCTCAGTGGCCAGGCAGCAAGCCTAAATGAACAGTGTGCTTCTGTTTAGTGAGACCCTGTCTCAGAGCAGCAGGTCTGAGAGCAACAGAGAGTCACACATCCTCTCTCTGGCTTCTGCATGTGTATGTACCAGCATTATCACACGCAGATTGAACATCCGAGGAAGGAAGGAAATACATAAGGAAAATGTTTATATGACTAGGCAAGTACCCAACAGGAACTATTAAAAATGTTTGTTTGTAGAGCTAGGAATCAGACCCATGGGTCCACTCAAGGCATACCAAAACCACTCAGTAATACTCCCAGCCCAGCTGATGCTAGGGTGTGCATGTGTGTGTGTGTGTGCGTGTGTGTGTGTGTGTGTGTGTGTGTGTGTGTGTCTGTGAGAGAGAGCAGGAGAGAAGGAGAATACCTGAAACTGGTGGTCTTCCTGCCTTAGCCTCCCGGGTGCTGACTCACACATTCGTGCCACCCTGCCCAGGATTTTGAGCCATTATATTGTTTTAATAGCAACCACCCTTTCCAGTTCGGACCCACAGTTAAAGAGCTAACAAGCTGTAGTATAAATATGAAACATTAATGAAGCATTACAAGTTAAGTCAAAGCACATTCCCTTACACTGAGTGGAGCATTTATGTAATTGACAGTGATAAAAGGAAATTATACATCACTCTTAATATACATGTAACTTTCTTCAATATCATCTAGTAGTAACAAATAAAAATTTTAAATGTTGAAGTTGTGTTTTGGTATGATCATCTCATTCTTGCAGTATCTCTACAAAAATAACTGAAAGTGTTTTTACAAAAAAAATTACTAGATGTAATAGGAAGAGAACAGAGAAAAAGAACTAGTCTGTCATATGAAATCGTTCTTGACCAATTATTTTAGGTTTCTGTATTCGTGAAACATGTTGTTAAAGTTTTTAAGCAGAACAAAAGCATATATGTAATGATGATAAATCTATGTCAGGATTAAAGTCATAATGCAGATAGTGGTGGTATTATGGAGGATGAATGGGGAGAAGGGAAAGCGGACGAGAGGTGGTCTGTTTGATGGAGTGAACTCGGTGGCAGTAAGGAATCTGCATGTAAGAAAGTAGCACAGGTGTGTGTATAGGCCTCCTGCAGCACCGTTGTGCTGGTGTCGGTGTGGTTGACTTCCAGGAGGACTTGATTCTTGCAGGAACCTCAGAGAACAAAGGGATACTTCCTGGGAATCTGTCGTTTCACAATAAGGGTCTTAAATCTCAAAAGCATTTTTAGAGAGTTGACATGCCAAGGTTAGAGGAATATTTTGGAATTTGGGAATATTGAGATTTTGTTTTGCCTTTTTGTCTCATTAGCTTTTAAGTGCTGTGGGTTTTCTTTGAAAGTTACACAGCCAAGTCATGTAAATTGTGCAGTGGCTCTTCCTCCAACTGGACCTTTGGTTTGTTTTGTAGTACATACCAAGAGTTGTGACCTCAGCACAGCAGAAAGCCGGGAAGACGATTACCGCGCGGATCACGGGTCGGTGTGATTTTGCTTCCAAAACTAGAGTCAGCAGCAGTTTGGCTATCATGGGAGTTTCTCCTCCCATGAGCTCAGTCGTTGTGGAGAAGCACCATCCAGTCACAGTGGTAAGTCCTGTGAGTTTGTCCCCTAATCAACCCCGACATTCATGGCTGGTCATTGTTGCCATCAATCATACTTAAAATGTTCTTCTTTTAAGGAAGATGTTTATTCCAAATGGCATCAAAATCATCAAATAGAAAAGGTAATCCATTATATCAACTGCTAAAACAGTAAACTGTAAAGATTCCATGTAAAAAGAAAAAAAGAAAGAAAAATAATTTACTGGTAAACCGACTCTTCATGCAGCAGGTGTTGATTATAAGAAAATGTCCTACGTTAGAGTGCTTACTCTTGCCCTTGTATTTTCCAGTCTCCTTCAGTAGAGTATCTAACTTATCTCTATATTAAAGGGTAGTGAATTGCAAAAAATACATAAGGTATAAGGGAAGATGCACAGACTTGAAGCAGCAGGCAAGTGAGAACTTCCCAGTTGTTCCTTCCACTTTCTGCACCTGGACAGAGACTCAAGTCAGATAGTCAAGCCTCCACTTTCTCTTCTGTGAAATGGGGTTGGTGAGAGTACTGAGCTTCTGGAACATTGTCAGAATTCAGGAGTAAATGAGATAATACCAAAAGTAATGACATATGCAGGGGTACTGTGGAAACTACAGAGCCATTAAGAACTAGAAAGTTACTAGAAAAGGAATGTGAGATTTTGTTTCTTTTTTCTAATCGTTGAGTGCTTGTTTGCATGTTTGTCTGTGCACCACATGTATGCCTGATCCAGAAGAGGGCATCAGAGCCCCTGAAACTGGAGTTACAAATGGTTGTGAGCTGCCATGTGGGAGCCAGGAATTGATCCTGGGTCCTCTGGAAGAGCAACAAGTGCTCCAGGCTGTCTCTCCAGCCCTTGGTGTTTTAGAGAATAGAGAAATTGAGGGAGTAGAATCTTTTTTCTTATTGAAAAAAGTTTTTATTGAATTAAAATAAATTCAATTATTGAATTAAAATAAAATCACATCATTTCTCCATTCTTCCCCAGACTGAACTTGTTTTATATCAGCTTCTTGTGATGGAGTAGTTTTATCTACTTTCATCAATTCCTTTTCTCCTGAAAAGGAATTACGTCATCCTTTCCTGTTTTCCTTCATTTCCCTGAGTTCAGGTTAAGCCTACATCAAATAACTTATTCAGACCTGCACTTGGAGAAACTAGAATCTTAGAAATTCTCTTTACCTGTTCTCTCCTGCTATTCAGCAGGCGTGCAGTACGGGCCGAGTCAGAGATGGAGAAACCCTTCCTTCCTTGCTTAGCTTCTGTCATGTGACAGTTGTGGGCCTCTGTGCTGTTTGAAGTGTTTTCCAGGAATCAAGATCTAAAACTGGCAGAAACCATCACTGCCAATAAAGCATGGATCTGTTTGAACTCCTTTGCCCATCAGCTGGTGTTCACTTGCTTCCGAGGCTGACTATGTGTTCTGCCATATTTTGTAGATCACTCTAATCTCTTCCTACAGTTCCTTTTACCCATCCTCAAGGAGAAACAGCTTTGATAAATCATGTCATGTTTAATGCTTGTCAACTAAAATTTCATGCCAGCTGTAAGACTCTCCCATTTGTAATAGTTATCCAGGTGTTTATAGTTGGAGAAACATCTGTATAAGATACCTTAAGAAGGGAGGTTACTTTTCTACTTCTCCATAGAGAAGTTCTCACTTTTAAGACAGAATTGGACATGAGGATCCTGTTTTATTATGCAGTCTTTGAAATAGATGGTAAATATATTGGCTAAATGCATTTTTTATAAATTTTACCTGTATGAATGTTTTGCCTACATATATGTCTGTGCAGCACATGTGTGCCTTGTGTCCACAGAGGCCATTCTTGCGATCCACTGTGTGAGTGCTGGCAACCAAACCCAGGTCTTCTTCCTCCTGAGCCGTCACCCCCGCCCCTAATGCATAAAATTGTACTTGAAATATTTTAAAGATAATTTTTCAAGTGGAAGCTCCTATAATAGAAATCTGTGGACATGACTAAGAACATAACTTGATACAGATCCCCTGCCGGCTACTAAGACATTGTCACAGGTACAATAAAGTCTTAACTGGTTTTCATATGTACGTAGGGCTACCACGTACGTATATACACAGTGCATATTTTTACGTATCACATACGTAGACTGTCGGCTCTGCCCTGGCTTTAATTCTTTAGCATTCATGTCTCTGTTCTCCTAAGCTTTGAACTGGCGTGCAGATTACCTTCTCCTCAGTGTCTGTGGTTGTTCTCCATGTCCAGCTCTTTCCTTGTTTAGGATAGTGTGGCCCAACCAGGTGTGGTGGATGTTTTATATTCCCAACATTCTGGAGCCTGGGCAGGTGGATCACAAGTCTGAGTCCAACGTGGGCTCCAAAGCCAGACCCCACTGAAGGAAAGCGATATTAATGGAGCCACTTATCTTCTGGGGAGCCTTCTCTTGTGTGACTGTAAAATGTTGGGTCTGCTCCCAAGTGAAATCTGAAGTCTATTTCACCATGGCTTGAAGCAAGGCCTGGGCTCAATAGAATAAGGGGTGAATGATGTAGAGCTGACCCTCATCCAGACACCGAAGTCCTTTTCCGTCCTTGGCCTCTATAGACCTTTTCGTCTTAGACCTCTTAGAGCATTGATTCCCAGGGCTCTGGTATTAAATGTGGTTGTTCAAATATGGGTTCCTTTTAGAGAAGGGCTTCACTGTCTGAGTGGCAACTCCACCCAGTGCATTGCTGGTATCTGTGGGATGTCAGATGCCTGTTGGTTTGGGCTATAGGTGATGAAATGATGCTTCACATCGACTCTGTCAGATTAGTAAAGCAGCCTCTTATCTTTACAGCAAACCATTCCTCAGGCAGCTGCTGCCAAGTACCCACGGACCATCCATCCTGAAGGTGGCAGCGTCCCAACCTCTAGGTCTCTCGGAGCCAGGCCAGCCCACTCCCAATCTCTCTCCAACTTTCAGTCCATAAAAGTGGTTGACTAGAGTGGCTGTGTTCACACTCGGGTCTCTTCATTCCTCTGAGGACTTGACTGGGAGCAGAAGTTGTTGATTTTGACTTTTCTGTACTGTTTAGAACATCATGGACACATCATGTTCATCTTTTCAGAATTATAAGATACTTTCCCATCCTTTGTAACTATATGTAGCGATTATTTTAATGTTGTTATTTTTATTTAAACAATTAAGTATAACTTTTTAATAAAAAAAACCTGATTTTAAACATGTCCAGCCTGCTACTGCTTGCATTGTTGAAGGGTATAAATCTTTTTCTGTACATTATTTCTAAAAGGGAATATTTCCACTGTTACTGAACCATAGTTTACACAAAACTTGGACAGAGAACTTAGTCATTACTAAAACAAATAGAAGCTATCTGAATTTTTAAATAAAGACCAAGAGTCACGGTGATATTTCTAAACACAGCTTTTTCTGCCTTCAGTATATTGGTCTTCATCTCTAGGACTCTGCAGTCAAACCTTGAGGGAGACAGTCAACATCTGTGAAACTCCCTGCTGGGATGACCCTGCTTTCCTTCTTCTCCCTCACCCTAGTGGGGCCTGCAGCATTGAGCCTGCCTCCTCCTTTCTGCACATCCACACGTGTGCTGCACAAGAGTGAGAGCCCTGCAGATCTGCAAGCTTCCCAATGGCTGGCCAGAATGGTGCCCCACGCCTTGAATCCCACCACAGGGAAGGTAGAGGTAGGTGGATCCCTTATGAGTTCAAGGCCAGTCTGATCTACTAGTGAGTTCCAGGACAGCCAAGGCTGTGTAGAGAAACCCTGCCTCAAGGAAAAGAGAGAAGGAGAGGGAGGGAAGAGAAAAAAAGGAAGGAAGGAAGGAAGGAAGGAAGGAAGGAAGGAAGGAAGGAAGGAAGGAAGGAAGGAAGGAAGGAAGGAAATAGACCATCTGGACAGAACTGACATTAGAGAAAAAACTGCAGTTTTCTTCAATACTCTGTTTTCTGGGGCCAAACATTTAATTAAATGGATTTCAGGATCCTCATCTGTGATGTAAGTAGATGTACTTCCTTTCCTGTTGACACTGTACTTACGGAATATATGAGCAGGTCCTCCACTTTCTGATACGTGTGGTTTTGATCATCTGAAGCCTCTTCCAGTTTGAGCGTGATCTGCTTCTGTGCTCTCTCATTTTATTATAAAAAGTCACTTTTCTTGCTGCCTCACACTTCAGAGACTAAATGTGATCTAGGCAAACATCATTCCATATTATAACAAGTGCTTAAGACTTCTGAATTATAGACGTACCAGGCAATGGTCCAGCTACTACCGTAGCAAAAACTCACTCCTTGGGCTTCTAAGTTTTGTGAATAGCAAGCTGCAGCACCTCCTCTCACACCTTCCCTGTGGGCATGCTCCCCAGAACTGCCCTCTCCACCCAGCAGAGCCAGGAGGAACGGTAGGCTGCCTTAAGAGATCACTCATGTGACCAGAATAAAAGTCCCCACTGTGCAGCTTGAGACATGACTCAACCGCTGAGCACATGCTGCTCCTGCAGAGGAACCTAATTCAGTTCCCAGCACCCACTTGGCAGCTTCAAACCATTTGTAGCTCCTCTGGCCGTCATAGGCACCAGGAATGCATGTGTACATACGTACATACAGTCAAAACACATTTTTACGTCTTTAAAACACACTGTAACATGGCTCAATTCCTCCTCTCTCCCTCCCCTTTGTGAACTGCCCTGAGATGCATTCATCCATCCCATCTTGGAACAGAATGTGCTTAGGATCAGATAGCCAAACTTGACACCAAGTGGAGCCAATTTGGTAGCATCCTCACCTTGCTCCTCCTCAGCTTCATGTTCATTTTCTATTGAAATCTTGGTCTAGGCTGGACCTTTGAGAAGCATGGACTAGCTAGGTTTTCAGTGTGCAAGCCAGGTCATATGGACATACTAGTGCAAGTTGATGTAACTAGGACTATTATAGGCATTGTTAAGTGTAGAATTGCGTGTTATCCAAATGAACAAATCATTCATATTGGCCTAAGTTAAATAACACAGGCTTAATGGAAACACTCTCCAGTACGTGTGCATTTTGTACTTATTTTACATGCAGAGGTTAGGTTGGAGGGAGAATGCTCGCACTGGTGTGGCCAAACTCAAGAACAAACTGGGATGGGACTTTTTTATTTAATACTATTTTAAAATTCTGGGATCTTGTGAATATATTGCCTGTTTTAAACACTCCTAGCATTACATGGGCCATTTACAATCACTGTAAGAAAAATACCTGAAACTAAATTAATAGACTTATTGCCTGTGGTTGCCTTACCAGCTTTTCCAGACTGAGAGTCGGAGCTGAACTCTAGGTAGGTATACAGTGATGAAAACTGGTACCTTTGTAGCTTTCCCAGGTTACAGAAGGCAGTACTTGATTGTTGTGAGCAAAATCAGATGTACTGGAAAGTACCAAGAATTAAAATTACCCGTATTTAGATCACGACGGGTTTAAAAATTACTGGTGCGTGTCTTTTTTTTCTGCGTAATAAACTACACTTGTGTGGTGTAAAGCCAGTAGTGTGTGGATTTCCACACGCAGCTTCTCCACAAAGATAAGAGTTTATGCCTTACATCCCACTGGCTTGCGGTCAGGTATCACGGGTATTTTCCCTTCATCTCCTTCCCGATCTCTGGAGGAAATGTTCTGTCTATCAGAAAAAGAAGCCACAGCTCTTAAAACGTCAGTAATGTTAACCTGCCCACTGCTCGCAGCCAAGCATCCAGTTTCAAAGCCGAATCTCCTAGCCCTGCTTTTGTGTGTGCCGCCATGCTGCGCCCACCATCCGTGTGGATCTTAAGCTTGTACAGAGCTGTGCTCTTCTGCATGCACATCAAATGACAGAACTAGGAAAGCCACACAGTTTGCCTCCAGCGTGAGGCTGGAGCAGTGAGAAGGTGGTATATTCACCTCTATCCCTGGAGGAGCAGCATCCTTGGACCAGGAAATCAGTCTGCTGGGAGGTAGCTGTGGCCATCGGGAACCACAGTCAACCTGAATGCGGAGTGGGAAGCCATTGGAATTGTTTCTTCAGCTTAGGAGACTGCACATTTCTTGGAGCTTGGGCCAGTTTTACCTTCGAAATGACAAATCTTTCCTGGAAAAAAAAAAAAACAGGATAATTATCTTAGGGTTACTATTGCTGCGATAAAACATCATAACTAAGCAATTTGGGGAAGAAAACGTTTATGTGGTTTACATATCCTGAATCAGTCCATTGAGGGAAACCAAGGCAGGAACTCCAAATCCAGCGGGAACCTGGAGGCAAGAGCTACTGTAGAGGCCATGGAGGAGTGCTGCTTACTGGCTTGCTCCCCATGGCTTGCTCCACCAGCTTTCTTACACCCAGGATCACCAGCCTTGGGGTGGCACCACCCACAATGGGTTTGGCCCTCCCATATCACTGATTAAGAAAATGCCTTACAACTAGACCTTATGGAGACATTTTCCCCTTAGATGACTCCAGCTTGTATCAAATTGTCATAAAAATTAACCAGCACACACATTCGAGATCAACAGCTGATACTAAGTATAGTTTACTGTGTTCCGGGCACCATTCATTTCATCAGCACCAACCTTTAGAGATGGATGTTCATTTCTTCCCTAGTCTACAATGGGCACACTGGTGCGATGTGGTTATAGAACCTGCTAAAGATGGCAACGCTGGAGCCAAGGAAAGCCCTGACAACACAGCCCTAACCACTTCCTCACACCACCGTAGTCTTCCCTTAGAGACTGCATAGGCGCGCTTTGATTAGAAAGAACATGTTTAAAGTTGCAGGGCCTTGTGTTAGGAGGCTAGTGTCCTGCAATGTAGGTATCTGCAGTAATCATCATTCCTATTCCTGCTTGAAACAATGCTGGTCCAGGGGCCGGAATGAGGCAGGCTTGTGGTCAGCCCTAGGTGGAACTGCCTCCATGAAAACCATGGCGGAGGCCTCTCCCCCTTTTCCTTCAGCAGCTGTCATTACAGAATGTTCCCTGACAACATGGGGGAGGGTGATTTTCTATAATAGCCTTAACTGGCGAAGCAGCAGTCTGTGCTCCTCTGCTTTCTACCTGGAGAGCACACATTTTCACAACCACCCAGTTGGTGGAGTTTGCCAATAGGAGCAAGCAGCTTTGGGAGCAGGAGAATTCTTGCTCAGGTGTGGAGAAGAGTTCTGGGTCGTGGAAGGTGGTTGAGCATCCGTGCCCCATCCTACCTCTTCACGGGCACACCGATACCCCACACTTGGTTCAAACGCTGTGCTGAGGATTGCCTGATTGGCTTAACCAAGGCAGAAGCTACAGCATGCCCGTAAGCCCCTTCCACAGCTTCGTGTGCTGTTTGGCCACAACCACCCCCCATCAGACTGCTGCCAAATTCAGGGAGTAAGGTCTGCCCGCCATTGAAGGGAGAAGGGATTTATCTGTGTGGGTTTGTGGCAAAGTAACTCACCAGCTGACTCTGGGAATCCTGCGTGCACCAGCGCCCCGTCCAGCTGCTTGGCAGGGTCGGGCTGTGTCATGAGGGCCCCGTGCAGCCAGATGAGCAGAGCCCTGTAGCCGTGCTCACGGAAGCCCTTGTTTCCTGTGTCCAGGATAAGTGTCCAGAGTGAGGCACCACCCACTGATGCCTCATTCTAAATGACTGCTATTGGCCTCCCTTCCTCCTCCCAGATCTCGCAGGTCAAAAGCCCAGCGAAGGGAGGAAGCGCTTGCCATTCCTCCTTGATACTGTGCTATGGTGACCATGCTTTGAGAGACAGCCTGGCCTGCTCCTCCTGTTCTGGGACACGCCTGAATGTACCTTAGACCACTTGGCCATGCTGACACACAGGGAGGTGGGGAGCTATAAGGGACTGAAGGGCTTTGATGCCTCCCTGGAGATGACAGATAGTGCCCACAGATGTGAAGTATGAAGTCTTCTAACAGGTCAGGCTCAAAGTATGTGTTTTCCCTGGGCATCTTGTGCAAATGCAGATTTTTGGAGTCAATGATTTTTGATGACAGTATACAGTATGACAAGTTCCCCAGTGCCCTCTGAATCTGGGCAGCAAGCATGTGCCATACAATCGCTCCAACTCTGTACTCGTAATCTAACAAATAAATTTTGCCTGAAGATCAGAGTGCAGAGCTAAGCCACCAGTTAGCCTCACACCTAGTTAAGAGCTAAGCCACAAGTTAGGCGTAAACACACTAAGCCATTAGTTAGTCATAGTGGTGGCCACACCTTTAATCCCAGCACCCAGGGAGACAGAGGCCCTTGGAACTCAGGGAGTTCAAGGCCACCCTGGGCTGAATCAGTCTGAAAGAGAAACAGAGCTCACCCAGCACTCCCGACAGCATGCCTTTAGTCCCAGCACTAGAGAGGAATCTAAGACAGGAGCTCAGTGAAGTCTCGGTGCAGCCTGAGGTTTCGTGGAGAGCATTGTCGCCAGCAGTCACCCTGAGGACAGGGTCACCCCTTTGTCGGAGCGTTGGTAGAGGTAAGAACTCTAGTGACTTGCTTTGTTTTTCTGATCTTCAGCTTGAACCTCAATGTCTGTCTCTGGGTTTTTATTATTCGTGCTGCACAATTCAGAGGCCTGTATCTCAGGCCAGGATTATTCATCCTGTAAATACCTGAGAGCTAATTCCTGAGGGGCTAGGAGAGGTGTTGGAATAAGAAGACAATCTGTTGTCACTTTGGACAGTTCATAGTTACAAACACACAACAGGCACCATGGGGCAGATGACACAAAAAGAGCCTTGGCAGAAAGAATGTGCTCCTCAAAAAACTAATTCTTCTTCAATACCAACATGTATTATTGTTGTATTGTCAAAGAATTGAAGAACTACATTTATTATTGGTTGTTCTTCAATATCAACAACATATACCAACATTATTCACTCAAAATCCCGCAAACTTCCCGATACCAGTTGCTTCAAGAATTAAAATATGATTGGATTGTGAGTGTTGATACCATGCTGGTGAGATTGTGCGTGTGTGTGTGTGTGTGTGTGTGTGTGTGTGTGTGTGTGTGTGTACAGATGCTGATCTCCACACCCTTCCCCCAACATGGTAGGGGGCTTCCTCCTGGGCAGAAGCTTCAGCAGTGACCTTTTCTATGGCAGGACAAGCTGCAGATTTTGGTGGGAAGCCAGACTGGCATTCCACAGGCATACCAGGGATTGTATGTAGCTTCACCTCTTTGGTTCCCACTCAAGTGTGAAGCTTTCATTTCTCTTTTAGGCCAGAATAGTCAACCTTTGCCCAGGGCAGCTGACTACAATTCTTGGGAGTTTAGCTTTCTGCCAAATTGCCAACCACTGGTGCAGACTTAGCCAAGCTAACTTCCGTTATTACCGTGATCCCTGGACTCGGCCTTTTGTGTACACGGGAGCACTGCCGCCCCTAACTCTGAATGCCTTCCTGTCCATGTCCCCTGGTCCCCACTCACCTGACCACTGCTCCTCAATGGCTCTAATCTGGTCCTCTGAAAAGTTCCACAAGTGGGCCAGCCACTGCCAGTCCTGCTTCAGCTGTCTGTAGGCCAGGTTCCAGAGGAGCATGCGGATGTGCCTGGTCTCAACACTGTGGTCCTGCTTGAACGTCAGTGTAGAGCATCCTGCCAAGCCCTGGATGCTCTCAGGGTGCGCCTAAATGGAAACGCGCTGTTACATCATGCTCGCTTGCTACCGTATGTAATGAGTATCTGGGCAAGCAGTAGCTGAGACTCTCTAATCTGTCCTAGATCATCTTTTGTCATCCAAATTGGACAGAAATGTCTGGAATAAAAAGCATGAGTACTGGGTCTGAAACGGCAAATGTGTTGTGTCTGTGTTGCTGACTGGCGTTTGCCCACTTCCAACGAGAACAGAGGGGACATGTTGGCAAGTGAAACATTACAACCCATTGCTCTAATGGCCTCACTCCCAACACTGGGCCCTCTTTAGTCTTTGGTGTATTTGATTTTCTCATTGAAACCTCGGTGGAATTCAGATTGGATACATCCTTAATAAAACTTCATGGCTCTTCTTTCTGTTCCTTCTAAGTATGAGAAGAGACTGGAAGCTTAACTCAGGGTAGGGTAGGGCAGTATAGGATAGGGTAGGGCAGTGTAGGGCAGGGTAGGGCAGTGTAGGGCAAGGCAGGGCAGGGTAGGGTAGGATAGGACAGTATAGGATAGGGTAGGGCAGTGTAGAGCAGGGTAGGGCAGTGTAGGGTAGGGTAGGGTAGGGCAGAATAGTGTAGGGTAGGGGAGGGGAGGTAGGGGAGGGCAGTGTAGTAAAGTCAGGTAAGATAGGGTAGGGCAGGGCAGGGCAGTGTAGGGCAGGGCAGGACAGGGTAGGGTAGGGCAGTGTAGGGCAGGGTACTAAAGTCAGGTAAGATAGGGTAGGGCAGGGATAGGGTAAGGTAGGGTAGGGTAGGGTAGGATAGTAAAGTCAGATAAGGTAGGGTAGGGTAGTGTAGGGCAGGGTAGAGCAGGCTAGGGTAGGGTAGTAAAGGCAGGTAAGGTAAATTGGGGTAGGGCAGGGTAGACTAGTGCAAGACAGAGAGGGAGTAGGGAGGCAGGGTGGTGACCAGAACGAAGTGGCTATCATTTCGCCATGATAAGCCCAACGGCACTGCACCTGGACTGTTCTCTTGGGCTTTTGTCCTTTCTAAGCCGATTCTGTCCCCTTGGTGGGAGGTGCCACGGTCTTTCCCAATCAACCTCTCTAAAGCATCAGAGGAATGAGGTTCGGAGGGAAAAGCAGCCGCGCACCACACATGCACCGTTAGGACGGCAGAAGATTACAGCCGTAAGGGAATGGAAGACAGGACTCACCGAAAGGTTTAGTGAAGACGTCCTATCTCACCTCCTTTTTCATGTGGAATGACTTCTATTTTAGTCTTCCAGTAAATAAAAGATACTCTAAAAACAGGATGGGAGCTAATGCCAGGCGAGGAATGGGCAAAGAGTATGGGACCCTGCCTCTCTAGAGTTTTGAGAACTTAGTAGGCCTGCACTCAGCCCTCACCACCTCCGGAAACCTCTGCACACCCCCCGGGGATCTCAGCCAAGGAGCAGGGAAAGGCCTTCTGCTGGTGTTGGGCCTTGATGCAGAAACCGGGATGGGAATGGGAGGTGTGAGCATCCACAACTGTTCCCAAGACTTGAAAACGCAGTCCTCTCCAGAGCTCCCTGGCTTTGCTATCACAATACCTGCTTCCAGAAATCCTAGGAGTTGAGATGGGAGCACCAGCAAAATTCACTTTTCCTCCCCATTCCTTCTCATAAAACGATGCACCCAGTGAGATCAAAACATCAAACAGCGTGAGGAGAGAAGAGCGCAGACCAGTTCTGCATTCATCTTCACTCTATGCATTTTTATTTCTTAGAGAATCATGCATTTGCATTCTACCATGGGGCAGGGTGGACATTCAGGCATCTGTAGGCAAGAGCAGGGGACTGGGAAAGCCCCAGTGACCCAGCTGGTGGTGCGCCAGAAGTGATGGAGAGTAAAAAGCATAAGACAGGGCTGTCAAGATGGCCCGGCCACTAAAAGTGATTGTTACAAAGTGTGACAACTTGAGTTTGATTTAGAAAGCTGCTTGCCCTGGTGCTCATCTGTAACCCCAGGACTCCAGTGAGGCGAGAAGAGGAAAGGAATCACTTGAACTCCTGGTAGCAGCCTGAGGTATCCAAGCTTGACAGAAACAACAGCAGAGGCCACAACTTTGCCTCTGACACTGAATATAAGGATGGATGATGGTTAAATACGCACGTGGATACAACAGATAGGTAATTTAAATGGCATGTACATGTGGTTAAATATGTATATGTATAATAGACACAATATCTAACTAATTTAAATGGGATGTGGGTACACATAACATATGTAAATAGATATAAAAGAAGTTCAAATTATCTCTTCAAACTTTGTACTGGTGATTATTTTGTACTAAATCTGGATATAAACTTGTTTGATTAATGAAAAAATACCTTAAAAATAAAATAATAAAATTTGATAAGCTTTAAAAAGAGAAAAAGAAATTAATGCTACTTAGTTAAAAGTAAGTTTTCCCAGTACCACAAACGTCAAGAAAAGAAAGGTCCATTTGGTGTAAGAATTATTGATCGTCATCTAGCCAAAAGAATATGAGGCTGCTAACAGGCATTAAAAAATAAATGGATTGGTAGTAGCGCACGCCTTTAATCCCAGCACTCAGGAGGCAGAGGGACATAGCTCTCTGTGAGTTCGAGGCTAGCCTGGTCTACATGAGTGAGTTCCAGGACAGGCTCTAAAACTATATAGAGAAACCCTGTCTCAAAAAAAACGAAAAAAGAAAAAAAAAGACATTAAACAGCATGATTTTTCAAAGTGAGTATAGAAAACCACTTAAAGAACAAGAGAAAGCCAACCTGAGTCTTTAGTAGCATACAGATGATTAAGAAAATGAAGAGAAGGATAAAGAAGCAAGAAGACAAAAGAGGAACAATAAAAATAAGTCAGAGGAGGAAGACTAAACAGAATTCTACTTGAATACAAGAAACTGTTGTTTTGTAGGTGAAACAGATTTTATCGTTCTACATGCAAGAGCAGTTGCAAGGAAGCTGTGTAGCCATTGGAAGACTCCATTCTCAGTCATGAGCTACACAGCTTGTGTGTGGCCTATGTAAGAGTGCTCAGTGGTATTGACACAATGATCACATTGCCTAATGACGCGTCTCAAGTTTCCTTGTCATTGACTGACATTTGACTGTATATTTAGACTACTAAGCTGGTTTATGAGTGATGGAGGAAGGTCATTGGTTAAAAAAATAAAGAAACTGCTTGGCTGGCCCTCACAGGTTAAAACATAGGTGGGAGGAGTAAACAGAACAGAATGCTGGGAGGAAGAGGAAGTGAGCTCAGAGACGCCATGCTCCCATCTCCTGGGCAGCTGCACATGATGAAGCTCCGACCCAGGATGGATGTAGGCTAGAATCTTCCCGGTAAGCACACCTAGTGGTGCTACACAGATGATTAGAAATGGGCTAAATTAATATGTGAGAATTAGCCTAGAAGAAGCTAGATAGAAATCTGCCAAGCAGTGTTTAAAAGAATACAGTTTGTGTGTTGTTATTTCGGGGCATAAGCTAGCCGGGTGGCCAGGGTGCTGGGGACACAGCCCCGCCGCTCCTATTACTACATATGAGGGGGAAAGAGGCAGTAAACATTCTTGCTTTATGGATTTAAAAAGGACTATCCCAGGATTGGCCAATAACAGCAATCCGGGTTTGGAACCTCTCTACAGTAGACACCCGAGCTGTGTAGACATGTATGCCGGCATGACACATGGGCCCAGGAGAAGCCATGTCCCCAGGAGGGAAACTGGGAAACAGCATAGGTCAAGAAGTTGGGGCTGGTGTTTTGGGTCTGAGCATCTTGCCTGAAGGCACAGACCTGAATCTTGGAGGGAAGGACAGTCTACTAAGATGTGTGACTGACAGGCAATCAGAGGAAAGAAAGATATAAAAAATAAAAACTCACTTAGAGATAAAATTTGTGTGTTCAAAGTTTGTGTTGTCCAGGAATATTTGAGTGCCAGAAAGCCAGCATAGGACTTCAGCAAAACCGGCAGAGCCAGGAGAGCTCCAAATACTTCCCATGTATGCCACTCACTGGAGCTTGTGACAGGTCATAGCCAGAGACCATGAGACAGAGGTCACAGTGGAGTCAGCCATCAGAGGCTGCATGCTAGGCCAGCAATACCGCCATGGATGAGGCTGCCTGGCCCACATGCTCAGGTCTGACTGCTGATGCCCACAGAGAAAGAGGGAAAGAGGACAGACACACTGTCCATGCCATAAATAGGGACAGTCATCGTTGTACTGAGCAAGGATTGCCAAAAGGGCCCCCGATTTGGCTGGAACTGGCTTTTCTTACCTCTCTCCAGGCATGGTACCTCTCGGCTTTAATGAGCATGTCCACCACGAGGCTGTGGTGGCTCCTGGCAGCCAATCTTCCCTTGCTAGATTGAAAAGAGGGGGCGGGGAGTTGATAGCGCCTGTTAGCCGGGAGCTCCAGCTTCTCGACATAGGACTGCACCCAGATGCCATGCCGGCTCTGCCACCTAGTCCTTAGTCGCTGCAGGGTCTCTGCAATTACACCCAGGTGTCCCCGTGAGCACTGACAGACCCCTTCGGGTGTGCCACCTGGAACATTTCCTAGCCTCGTGGCGGTCAGGGTGGAGGCCTGCATTCTGGCTGACGGTATGTAAATGCAAAGGCACATTCCTTTCCTGGGAAAGATTTTCAAAGGGAGGAAAGGTGACTTCTTCCTTTTGTTCCTCCCTTTCCCAAGGGGAATGCTGACAGCGGGAATCTGGCAGCCACTTTCCATCAGGAAATGGAAGTCTCATTTGGAAGAGGACGGTGTGATGAGACAGAAAAGGGCTGGGTCCAAGAACAGTGTCAATCCCGACAACACAGTTCATTGTGGAACATTCAGCTCGCGGGCTGCCAGCAAGGAGCGCTGCATACTGCCTCTAACCGACGTTGAAGCATTCCGATTTTAGCCAAACTGGATGAGTAAGAGAAAGGACTGATCTGGACATAACTTGGGATGTATGCTGCCGGAAGCCTGAGTCTCATCTTACACGAATTACAAGAGGTGAACCTTGCTTGTGATGGCTGTCTCAGCAGCCAGAGAACCCATCTTCACAAGCTGCGCCTCCTTGATTTTATGCAGTAGGCAGTTTCTATTCCTGCATCTACACAGGCTTTCTTGACAAAGGAGGCTGGTTTGCGTTTGCTACAGCAAATGCATGGATAGGGGCTGGAGAGATGGCTCAGCGATTACGAGCGCTGGCTGCTCTTCCAGAGAACCCGGGTTCAACTCCCAGCAACCACATGGCAGCTCACCACTGTCTATAACTCCAATTCCAGGGGACCCAACACCCATGGCAAAACACCAATGCACATTTTACAAAGTTTTTTTTAAAGTGCATATGTGTGCCCATGTGCATGTATGAGCGTTTATGCAGAAGCCAGAAGACAACCTTAGTATTAGCTTTAGAAACACATAGCACCTCCTTTGAGACAGGGTTTCTTATTGGCCTGGGGTTTACCCATTAAGACTAGACTGGCTGGCCAGCAAGCCCCAGGGATGCCCCTTGTCTGTCCCTCACCACACTGGGCTTATAAATGCGTGGCACCATGCCCAGCATTGTCACGTTTGTGTGGATACCAGTGAGGAGACTCAGGTCATCAAGCTTTCAAGACAGCCACTCTGCTTACCAAGACATCTCTCTGGGCCCCTTATTTGCATTTCAGATAAGGCACAGTCACTCGGGGACTCTAAAGATAAATTAATAGTCAAAAAAAACTCCAGAAAAAAAATTGCAATGTTAGAAACTTGTGTTTCTAACCCTGAAGATCCAGAAACTTCTCTCAATAACTCTTACATGTCTGGATAACAGCAACGAGTACAGTCAGTTGCCCACCAACCTGAGTGACAAGGTTTTCAGGGCTGGCGCAAAGACCTGGGTGAGTTGGGAAGTCGGGGCTGAACACAATCAGCCTGTGAGCAGAACTGGTAATGAAATTAGGAAGAATTGCATTTCACAGGCATTTAGCAAGGCTCTAATTGCATACTGTCTGCGTTCTGCCTTGAAAAGCCATTTGAAGCATTGCAATTAGCCTGTTTTGGGAAGACAGTATTCTAAAAGTCGGAACGTTCAAGCTGGAGAAATTGCTCTTAAGGAACAGCAACACTGGAGTGGAGGTGCCATCTGCCCTTGACAGCGAGGCAGCCGGAGGCCAAGAGCTTTGCGACCCCCAAGTTAGACTTTCATCAAGCCTCTCTTTTGGCTCCTTTATGACACCCTCCCCCACCGTCATCCCCACCCCTCTCTCTAGCATCTCACTATGCAAGCCTCGTTAGCCTGAAACTCTAGAATTTGCTAGGTAGACCAGGCTGGCCACCAACTCCCAGAGAGACCAGTCTGCCTCTTACTCCAGAGTGCGGAGATCAAAGGCCTGTGTCACCATGCCTAGCTACCCATCCAGTCCTTAACGCAGTTGGAGAAACACTTTCTTTTGGGAGCAGCTAGAAAGGGCAGTGCTGATCCATTAGTTAAAGGTGTACCCGTGCCTGCCTTAGGCCAGACCCTCAGAATAAAGGAGCAAAGGAGAAGAGAGAGTGGGGAAGATCGCCTCCCAAGGGCTAGCAACCCTAGGCTCTTGGGAGTGTTGACCTTGACAACTGAACTAAGTCAGCCCAGGAGCTCAAGGGGCCCCACAAGAATTCCTTCAGAGCCTCCACCCACCAAACTGCCCAGGAGGAAAGGCGTGTGAACGGGATCAGTACCTTGACTGAATGCTAATGAAGCCACGCAGCTAAGTCTGGGGACCGAACAGCATTCCGCCTAAGCCAAAGCCCTAGGTGCCCATGTTTCCTATGCTGTTCAATGTTTACCACATTCTCCACTGCTTGTGTTACTTTTATGATTGAAAAAAAAAATCCTGACAGAGAAAAAGTAAAATAACACCATGACCTCAGATCATACATGTGCCAATCTCCAGAACCAGAAAAGAAAATGGCCGGCTTTGGGCTGGGGATATAGTTCAGTGGTGGAGCAATTGCCTAACAAGGGCAGGGTCCTGGGTTCTATCCCCAGGACTGGAAGGGCTGTACTGTGTTTGATAAAGGCACTTTGGTGCTCCGTGCTGTAAAAAGGAACTAGTGTTCACGCGTTACTAGTTTAGCAAGCACATACTATTAACTGTTTATTTGTTCTGAACCAACTCTCCCAGCCCAGATGCCCCTGGAGGAGAACCAGGAGAGACCAACTTGATTCAGGCTTTTTAGAAGTGCCTGAGCCCACACATCCACAGAATGAGGGGAAGACACAAAGAATACGAGAGAAGCACTGACATCACGTGCTTAGTGCCATGGTTGACACCGTGCACACACACATACACACACACACACAGAGACAGAGAGAGGTGAAAAGCATAAACAATGAGGTTAGACATGTGAGTTATTCGCTGAGACTCAAGCACACCTTTAAGGAGAGCTTGCCAACACCTCTCCATGTGCTGACCCTTAGAGACGACCCCTGCTCGAGAGAGCTCAGTGCAGAAGGGTATGCACAAGGGAACGGCACTGCTGTCTTCAGAAGACAGAAGAATGGCCAGGTGTGTGGTAAATACAGTGAACCTAACACCTGAGACAGGGGAATCTCCAGTTCAAGCCAGTCTAGGCTGCACAGCTTGGGAGATGGCTCAGTGGTTGTAAAAGCAAGAGGACCGAAGATCGCCAGAACCCCAGTAAACGCCGTGCAGGCATGGCAACTCATGTGTAATGCTGGCCTCAGAAAGCAGAGATGGAGGATCCCCAGAGCTAAGTGACTAGTAAGACTAGCAGTATCGGGGATCTAGGTCTCTGGGTTTGATTGACAGGCCTAGCCTTAAAGACTAAGGAAGAAGTGTATAGGAAGATTCCTCACATCATCTCAGGCCAATACACAAACACTCACACACCCAGACCCAGAAGCCTAAAGACAGATATTTTTGTCATTTATATAATAATTCTTTTTTTTTGTTTTGTTTTGTTTTTTTGTTTTTTGTTTTTGTTTTTCAAGACAGGGTTTCTCTGTTGCTTTGGAGCCTGTTCTTGGAACTAGCTCTTGTAGACCNATACAGTATGGAGGAGAGGTAACAAACCATATGGAAGAACATAGATTAATATAAACATGTTGATTTAAGTTAGAAGAGCTAGTTTTTAACAAACCTAAGCTAAGGCCAAGATTTCACGATTAATAAGAAGTCTCCGTGTCAGAGCTGGAGAGATGGTTCAGTGATTAAGAGCACTAACTGCTCTTCCAAAGGTCCTGAGTTCAATTCCCAGAAACCACATTGTGGCTCACAACCATCTGTAATGAGGTTGGGTGCTCTCTTCTGGCCTGCAGGTTACATGCAGGCAGAACACTGTATACACAATAAATAAATAAATCTTCAAGAAAAAAAGTCTCCATGTCATTATTTGGGAGCTGGAAGTTTAAAAAACCCTCTGGATATAGTTCTGTGTGCTTTGTCCATGTGTTGGGGCGCTTCCCTAAAGGGGTCATTAAAGTTCAGGGTTCAGGCAGTTCCCAGAGAAGTAGTCAGGAGAGTCCTGTCTGGTGTTTTCTGGGGAGTTACAGAAGTAAGTGGTCTGGGGTCTGAGGCATGAAGAGAGCAAAGGATAAATGTCAGAGTTGGTGAGACAGCTGCCTCTCGTTCTGACACCCACCGTGTTCCTTCTATCACCTGTGGAATATTCCTTTACATTGTGTGAATATATGTTGCTGTGATTGGTTTCATAAAGAAGCTGACTGGCCATTAGCTGGGCTGATCAAGTCAGGAGAACCAAACTAAGGACACTGGGAAGAAGAAGGGCAGGGCCAGAGGAGACACCAGCCAGACACTGAAGGGAAACAGGAGGTGCGAGATGAAAGAGGGGTAACACCACATGGAAAAATGTAGATGAATAGAAATGGGTTAATTTAAAATGCAAGAGTTAGCTAGTAAAAAGCCTGAGCTATTGGTTGAGCATCCAAGATTAATATTAAGCTTCTTTGTGGTTATTGGGGAGCAGGCTGACAGGACAGAAAAATCCTGCCTATAACATTGTATGAAATTCTCAAAGAATTAATAAAATATTACAAAAATAGCATTTAAAATGGTTATCATCAAAAACAATTGAGATGTAGGGCTGGGAAGGTGGCTGAATTAGTGAAGTGCTTGCCGTGCAAGCACCAATGTAAAAAGGCTTGCCCCTGTAACCCCAGGACTGGGGAGATGGAGACAGTAGATTCCTGGGGCTTGCTGGTCAACCAGTCTAACTAAATTGCAAACTCCAGTTTCAATGAGAGATCCTGTCTTAAAAAATAGGGTAGAGAGCAGTCCTAACATTGACCACTGTTCTCCATGTGCTACACACACACACACACACACACACACACACACACACACACCAAGAACTAATAAATAAATAATCACTAGCCTCCATGTGCTACCCACATACAAACAAACAAATAGATAAATAACCACTGGCCTCCATGTGCTACACACACACACACACACACACACACACACAGGAAGGCTGATGTTCCTGTTTCCATGGCAGCCAATAGGGAGGTCACGGCTCCATCTCCGGAAAGAGTGAACACGGAGCAGGTACCTTGTCCGTGATTTTCAGGTCACAGCCGGCCTTCAGCAGGGTGTCCACCAGCTCCACATTTCCAAGATCAGCGGCAACGTGCAGAGGGGTCTGCTGCCTCTGCCACAAGAGATGTGAAACTGTCATGGAGGCACTTGCAGGAGAGCACGCCATGCACACGCCGTGCAGGCTTGGGGGGGGGGGGGCCGCGGCGGGGGATGAGTAAAAGCGTGTATCCTCATGTGGACCTAGGGCACAGTTGTCGCAGCAGTATTTAAATTATTGAAAGTCAAGACGAAGTTCCCATTAGGTCACAGGCAGTCCAGACTTCCACATATGAGCTCAAGCTGGACTACAGAAGGATTTCTGGAGGTTAGATAAGCCAGCAGCCATCAGGAACTGGTGAAACAGGTTCCCCTCTGTCAAAAGGGGTCATTTCCCTTATCTCTGGCAGAAGGGACAAAGGGCTACCTCTGGGGCCTATCAGCTTATCAAAACCCCTGCTGGCCTCCAGGCTCCCTCAGTATCACAAGTACCCGTTACACCTTTCCTGGCCCTTCCCCCCATCCCCCCACCCCCGTTTGTGCACCTTATAACCCACACGGTTTGCCCACCCTACTCGTTCTCTCTCTGTTGCTCTCCTACCTATCTCCCTCGCTATCCCCTTGTTCTCTAGCTATTCTCTGTTCTCTATCTCTTGCGATTCTCTCCGGCTATCTGCACTATGCCCGACTATGCTCCCTCAAGCTCTCTAGCGGACAGCCCTGGCCATGTCCAGTCTGCTTCCTTCACTCTATGCTCTGGACTCTCCCAGATGCCTCCGGCTGTTCCCTCTCACTCTTATTCACAATAAAAACCTTCCCCAGTAATGGTGTTGTCACGTCCGCGGTTTCTTTACTGCCCTCCCATCTGGTGCAGTTACATGTTTGGTAATGAGACATTATCCAAACTATATATATAAACATATAGGAATAATTGGCAACTTTTCAATCAACCTCAGTGTGTGGTCATGGAGCTGTAGTCAGAGCTGCGTGGGTGGCTAAGGCAGGAGGGAGTTTGAGGCCCCCTTTTTTTTTTTCAGTACAAGGTACATAGAGTTGCCAAACTCATACGGACAGGAAGGATGGTGGTTTCCAGGGGCTGGGAAATGAGAAAGGGGAAGTTCTGTGACGTAACAGAGCCGCACACTTAAAAATACTTCAAATGGTAATTAATGGCATGCACTTTACTGTAATAAAATGGCTTCAGAGATTCATATAAAGGGAAAACTATGACATAATAATAAAAGCTTTAGGGGGGACCTGGAGAGATGGCTCAGTTATTAAGAGCACTGGCTGTTTATCCAGAGGACCTGGGTTCAATTCCCAGCACCCACATGGCAGCTCACGGCTGTCTGTAACTCCAGTTCCAGGAGGTTCAACACCCTCTCACAGACAGACATGCAGACAAAACACCAATGCACAGAAAATGAAAACAAATCCTTTTAAAAAGCTTTAGGAAAAAAAGACATGATATCTGGCTAAGCTTAATCTATAAATGCACAGAAAATGAGAAAAAAAATCATTGATAGGGGCTGGAGAGATGGCTCAGAGGTTAAGGATGCTGGCTGTTCTTCCAGAGGTCCTGAGTTCAATTCCCAGCAACCACATGGTGGCTCACAACCATCTACAATGAGATCTGGTGCCCTCTTCTGGCCTGCAGCCTTACATGGAGGCAGCACACTGTATTGTATACACAATAAATAAAATCTTTAAAAAAAAAATCATTGATAATGTTAAAAATGGTGACATCTAGATGGAGACTAAAGGTTATTTTACTGCCCTTTGATGCTCTTCCCCACTTCTACATCAGTGTGTATGAAGGAGTGAAAGATTTCTAACTTCCTAATGGAGTGACCGCTTTCTACCGAGAAGATAAACGTGTAACCCATGTAAACAAAAGACCACCACCCCGACCTCCTATAGAAAAGAATGATGTGAGGACGTTTAGGCAGACAGGAACCTGGATGTGTCTAGACCCCCTCCTCCACCAGGCTGAGAAAGCCACTTCCCCAGGCAAGTACTGCACAGGAGCCTGAAGCACAAGTTCTCTTCCTACCAAAAAAGGCAAAGCCAGGTTGCTGAACCAGTAACCACTACCAGCAGATGGCAGTGTGCCTCTCTGGGGGCGCTCATCACCCAACAGGCCAACTGAAAAACCTATCGAGGGTAGACAGGACACAGGTCCGAGTGTGCTATTTCAACAGAAACCTGCTTTGATAATACCGCTCTAGGTCTGGGGGCACAGGAAACACCAAAACAAGCATTAGCTTTCTTTACTGGGGCCAAAGAACAATTACCTTTTTAGACCATATTTATACAGTCTGATTCTATATACTTTATGTGAATTTTTTTTATTTTGTACGTATATTACTGATGTAACAAAAAGTTTGAACTGATAAAGTCTAGTTGTGTATCGGATCGGCAGGCATGACAAACACTCCTTCCCTAGAGGAGGATCAAGCCAGTTCTGTAGAAGCCAAAATCACCCATGAAGGCAAGATGGCATAGTCTATTTAGCAAAAGGTTTTCACTTTAGGAAAGATTTAATAACCAGGGAGTTCTGGCCCCAGCTTGTAGGCTAATGCAATACAAAAGAGGGAGGCATTCCAAAGGGAGGGAGCGAGGGACGGAGGGAGGGAGCGACGGAGGGAGCGACGGAGGGAGGGAGGGAGGGAGGGAGGGAGGAAGGGAGGGAGGGAAGGCAGCGAAGTGTCCCTCCTGCTCAGGTGAAAAATTAACTAAGAGACCGGAGCTGGCTGAGCCCTGAAGGGATCAAGTTCTGCAGATTCAGTAGGTGAGGAAATGCGGACAAGTGTGCCTCACGTGACGGCTTCCCCCTAACCTAGAGGGTGCAGGTGGAGATTGTCTGGAAAAGGAGGCTGCGCGTGGCTCCGCCCCCCCCCCCAGCCAGGCTCCCTCCTCCTGCCTACAACCCCCAGGAAGGGAGCAGCTCGCAGAGGCAACAGGAGCTCATTGTTTGCTGCTCCACTGGGTTCCCACTCCAGCAGGCCACGGGCGACTTTTATGGGTTATTTGATTCTGCCCCAGTTCACTGAATACCTGGTGATCTTTTTATTTGTTTGTTTTAATTCTAAGAGTCTTTTTTGCCTTCTGGCATAGAAGATGCTTAGCGTGGAAACAAAGCTTCCTTCTTACTGGGGACCAGCTTTAGGCCAAGGACAACATTTCACACTGTAGGAGTGGCTTTTGATTTAAAGAGCTTCTGGCATTTTGCCTTGGCACTGTTTATCCAAAGCCCTGGCTACTCCTCTTAAAAAATGAACGCCTTGATTACACACCAGAATCCGGGTTTTTGCCTCTGCAGAAAGCGGAAGTGTGGGGACAGAGTGCTGGTTACAGAAGAAGCGTGATGAAAAAAAGGATGTAGACGGTCCCTCTGTTATTCCTTGGAAACTACAGCTCCCAGACTTCCCTTCACCTGGGCGCGCTGGCGCGCCCAGGTGAAGACCATCACTCCCAGATAACCTTGCGCCCGCAGTTAAAAGCGAGCGCTCCACGAGGTTTCTCTCTCTTGCCCCTTTTTCCTCGTGTGTCTGCACGTCCCGCCCTTATCGTGTTTCCCTCTCCCCATTAAACGCACCCACGTGGGAGCTGCGTGTCCGTCTCTTCCTTTGCGTCCGTCTATCCTGTGTTTGTCCACACACCCACGCCGCCCCGCCGCCGTTTTTAAGGAATAATACCCTCCTAGAAGTTTTGTAGGCACCTTGAATCTAAGCAGAACTCCCTGTTGAAACCTGGCAATTCCGGGCTGAAATGCAAGAGAACAGAGTGTCCGGCTCCCGCCTGTTCCGCTTACCTGATCCAAGCAAGACGTTAACGTCGTGCTGAGCTTAAGTTAATAAGCTGTTTACAACTGTAGGGTGGTTGTTGATAACTGCTAAGTGAAGAGGGGACTCCTGAGGCTGCAGAAAAGAAAAAAAAAAAAAGCAAATCCCAAACCATCCAGCTTTGGTATTCAAATCCTGAAGCAATCCATTTTAGCCATCACAGACGACCTCTGAGAATTAAAATTGTCCATCGCTGTGCGGGACCCACAGGAAGCCTTCAGCAATCCGTACCATCCCCAGGCTGCCGGTCATTCTGGAAATATATAACAAGCAAGCACCTACTATAGACCCGGCTCTTCAGGAGTTAGAGATTTATCTTTTTAATGAAGTCATTGTGAGGTTTCAAACCTGGGACAAACAGCTGGATGCCTATTTAACATATCAAAGAAGACACTGGCGCTGGGTGTCCCAGCAGCCCTCAGTACCTACATTAACAGGGCCCTCCTGGTTGGTATACTCCACCCCTACCCTGAACTCTCCAATTCAAGGGACTGGGCTGCTCTTTCCTATATAATACAGCCATTTTGGTTACCTGATCACCTGTCCCTTTTGTATCTTTGGGCCTTCTGACTGCCGCACCAGGTTCTCCTCTCTTCCCTCTCCCTTCCTCTACTCCTCCCCTCACATGGCCCAGCTCAGTCTGGTCATCTCTACTCTGGACTCTCCCAGATGTCTCTGCTCTTCCACTTAACTATAATAAACTTACTCCTTTATCACACCTGAACGGTCCTTTGCTTGCTTTCTTTCTTCTTTCTTTCTTTCTTTCTTTCTTTCTTTCTTTCTTTCTTTCTTTCTTTCTTTCTTTTTTTCTCTCTTTCATTCTTTCTTTCTTCCTTCCTTCCTTCCTTCCTTCCTTCCTTCCTTCCTTCCTTCCTTCCCTCCCTCCCTCCCTTCCTTCCTTTCTTTTAATTCAGTCACACACAGCTATTTAGTTTCAAAGTTTAAGTGGCTTAGAGGAAATGTCAAATGCGCTGAAGTGGCAAGAGGAGCAGGGAGGGCTGACCCTCTGGGAGTTAGGAGAGGCTTCCTTGAAGAACTGGACAAGGAAGTCTTAGGAAGGCTCCGCTGAGGACTTCTCCAAGTCTTCAAGAGCCAAAGGACAAAAGGAGTGGCTGCCAAGGCGGAAATGTACACGCAGTCAGCATTTCCTGACCAGATGCAAGCCACAGTCAGTTCCCTTGATCCCTGGCTGGTGTCTGCCTCCTCCTCCAAAGAGGCTACCCGCGGTTTGCTGTGAGCAGTCTCAGCGGCCTGCTCCTTCATCTCCTCCTTTCACGACCCTGTCTCCTTTACATCACCCCACCTGGATCTCCCCACCCCTCTCACTCCTTCCTTTCCTCCCCTCTCCTACTCAGCCCACAGGACACAAAGTCCATCACCACAGGCTGAATCAAAAGTCCCTGCTACCTCCCCTCCACCCAGCCACACTGGCCTGCGGAGCTCTCTGGGAGGAGAAAAGGACTGAGGAAGAAGTATTGAACAAAGGTTCAAAAGCAGTTAAGGCATGAAATGAGTAAGTTGAGGGACGTGCAGAGTGGAGGGAGAGGAGGAGGGGAGCTCTGGCCAGCAAGAGAGCACTGGCCTGAGGGCCAGTGGGTTGCAGTGAGACTGCAGCCTAAAGGTGGTGGCAGAGGTGCTGGCAATAGAATAGAGAAGGGGACACAGAGGAGAGGGAGGCGGGTGGTTAGGGTAGTCTGCAGTGTCACAATCAGGCACACTCAACACATCCTCTCCTGTTAAAACTATAATTATGCTGGCCTGCCCTGTCACCTGGGTATCCTGTCCCTTTAAGAGAAAGCTCCGCCCACTCCCAATCCCACCACCACCTAGGCAGGTTAGTTTAGGTTAGTTTGCCTTTCTT